TTATTTTGGCAAATACATAGAGGAATTTTACAATGCTATATAACATTGGTGCTATAGGTTTTTGTCTTTATGGTACAACTTGAAATTGTACCTTTAACGTTATGGTACAACTTCAGATTGTACCTATACTTTCTGTACAAGTTCTTTTATGGTACAACTTAAATTTGTACCTTATGTGATGGTACAACTTCAAGTTGTAAAGTTGTACCATAACATAATGATACAAATTCCTTTATGGTACAACCTAAACTTATACATTTAATGTTATGGTACAACTTCAAGTTGTACATTAAAGCACCAATGCTATATAGCATAGTAGAAGTGCTCCAAATACATAATACATGGGATGTGGGTACCAAATACATCACTCAAATCCCACCAGCAAAACGCAACCTTAAAAATTTATATAGCTGCACTCACTAGACCTCCTATACTAAATCACACAAACATGAACTAACTAATAAACTTTGTCCAATCATGGGTTTTCCCCCACCACCATGATCATTCTCACATGCAGGCCACCAAGCCCTAGGGCAGCCAAGCCTGGAGTGGGAGAACCGGGTGAAGATCATCAAGGGAGTCGCCAGGGGACTGTCCTATCTCTACAAGGAGCTCCCCAGCCTCATCTCCGCCCACGGCCACCTCAAATCCAACAACGTCCTCCTCGACGAGAACTTCGAGCCTTACCTCACCGACTACGCCTTAATCCCCGTCATCAACCAGGAGAGCGCCCAGGAGCTCATGGTCGCCTACAAGTCCCCCGAGTACCTCCACCACGGCCGCGTCACCAAGAAAACCGACGTCTGGGCCCTCGGGATGCTCATCCTCGAGATCCTCACCGGCCGCATCCCCTCCACCGTCCTCAAGCAAGCGACGAGTGGCGGTGGTGGTGGTGGAGGGGACAGCAAGGAGGAGGATCTGGCGGCGTGGGTGAGGTCGGTGCCGGAGGAGGAGTGGCCGCGGGCGGTGGTGGACAAGGAGCTGGCGGAGGAGATTGTGAATGAGCGTAATGAAGGCGAGGTGGTGAAGCTGGTGAGGATCGGGCTGGGCTGTTGCGAGGCGGACGTGGAGAGGAGGTTTGATTTGAAGGAGGCGGTGGAGAGGATCGAGGAGGTGAAGGTGAACGACGATAGGCCGGAGGATGCCGCCGCCGCCTTCGACGACGATTTCCATTCTTCGTATAGTGAGAGCACTACTACTACGACCGCCGGTGGCGGTGGTGGTGGCGGGGAGCGGAGGAAGCCGTCGAGAGAATTGTCTGCTGATTTCGGTGGCATCTCTTAATTTTTTTTTCTTTTCTCTTCTCTTCTTTTTTTTGTGTGTTTTTGAGAATTGTACGTGTTTCTTATCCCCCATTGGTTTTGAAGGAGAGAATTTGTGTATATGGGGAAATGTACGAAATTGAATCGAATCGAAGAAGATGTTTTGTGTCGTTTGGAAATTATGTGCCTTAGCCTGCGTAATTAAGTTATATATCACGAGAGATTATGGTTATGTTGTTTGGTTGTGGTATGGTATGGTATGGTATCAATATGATACTCTAGCGTTTTGGGTGGTGATTTTAGGAAAAGTTTGATTGTGAAGACGGTAATCTCATGAATGAAGAGAAGTAACACTGATGTGTGTTGATTAGAGGTGGCACCGTGGCAATTAGGATCAATATCTATGAATTCAATTCAATCCATCCACTAAATTATTTATCTAAACCAATCCATTTAAATATATAATCCATTTGAACTAAATTCAATTGGAATGGTGGAACCGTAGATTGATCCATGAATTCAAATGACAAATTATGATTTAGTACTTATATTTTTATATTTTGGTACCTGAAATTTATTGTTTATACGAAAAATATTGTTGGAAAATTACATTTTGATAACTAATTTTCAATTGTGACCTTTTAGTACCTAAATTTTTCAAAATTTACATATTGATCCAAGAATTGGATGTCATTTGGATTCATAGATCAAACCACCAAGTCATTTGATCCAATCCATGAATCCACCAATCCACTAGATCCAATTTATATGATCTATAGATCCACCAATCCATAAATCCAATTCATTTGTCACCTCAAATGTTGATCTTGATTTCAACGAAATGATATGGACAACGATTAAGAATATGCTCGTGGTTCAAGCAAATTAGTCTATCCTTCTTTTCCTTGCGTGCTTTTTGTGCGAGGAACATAATTGCGTGCTTTTTTTTACTCAACCTGCGTTTTAGTGGGTTTTTTGTAAGTGCCAGAGGTTTAATAACTCGATATTTATACATGTCTTCCTCAAACATGTTAATGTCTTAGGCATGTAATTTTAGTTAAGTTTAATAAGTTCATCGGATTTTATACTTGATGTGTTGTTATTTTTGGGTTGTTTTCTGTCTTCTAGGCGTTGAGGATCGAACAATATGATTTTGGATTGAATAGATGCGATGAATTAATCTACATGATCACCGGTGTCATTGAGCACCAAATATAAGTACCAAAATACTCAGCATTTCCCTCTAGACTGACTGTAATTCATAATTTATTTAACTTTTTTAAAATGGAGACTAATCACTTCTGAAGGATGGAAAATCGCTAAAACGATCGGCCATGTTTCTTTTATAGGTTGATCAATCAAATTTGAGGTAAATGCGGGAACTCGGCTTGTGAGGTATATTTCCGCAATACGCATAATCTATCTTGCCCTCATTCTCATTTCTCCGTCTCCTAAACTGAACCATTTCAAAATACAATCATGGGGCCGATCTTCATCTCTCAATCACATTTGGTCTCCGATTGGATTCACCCGCCATTGGCATTTCCTCCGATCCCAAAAACCCACATTCTTCATTCCCCCCAGAAACACAAACACACATCATCATACCCTGTTCCGATCATCCCCTGTTTCTCGATCTGGTAAATACCAATCCAACAATCAATGGAGAGAAGCTCGGAAATGGGCGGGAGGGAGAGGGTGGTGGCGGTGGCCGTGGACAGGGATAAGAGCAGCATCTATGCCTTGAAATGGGCCATTACTCATATCGTCACCAGGCACGAGACCCTCCGCCTTCTCCATGTCAAAGACCGATTCCTCACTGGTACCGACCTCTGCTTGTTCATTCATCTTTCTCTTGTTACCCATTTGTGTTTGTTTTCCTCTTTCTTTTCATTTGCTTGCCTGGATGCGATATACGATCCTGGTACGCGTATATATGGACGTACGTAGGTCAGCAATGGGGAATGGATCAAGAACAGAGTCCAGATGCTTTGATCGCCGAGATGATGCTTCCCCTCAAATGTTACTGTATGCGCAAAGAAGTAAGTCATTCTCCCGGCGCAATGATGAGAAATTTTTATCGTCGTAACATACAACAGCATGTTACGACGATAAATATGCTTTCGGTAATTGATTCTCAAGGGTGGCATTGATTGAACCCTCTCATCATGCTGCTCAAATCAGGTTAATTGTGAGACCGTTGTACTGGAGGATAGCGATGTAGCCAAAGCAATAGTAGAGTACATTGGCCATTTTGGTGTCAAGATTCTCTTGCTCGGCACACCCAGCAAAACCGGTATTTCCAGGTAACTGTTTGATAATAAGAAACAAGGAAAATGTTTCTTTTAGCTGCCTCCGAAGATTATGCTGTCATGATCATTTCATTCCATTTACGACGAAATCTGCAGGCTGTTTCGGAGTACAGATATTCCGAGCACGGTGATGAAATGGGCACCCGATTTCTGCACAGTCTACGTTATAGCCAAAGGAAAGGTCAGCTCTGCACGGAATTCTTCACGTTCCATTCCATCACCACACCTTCCTCCACTTTCTTCCTCCCCCAGTACTGTAAAACATCCCAGTTTAACCCCTTCTGATACCCCGTAAGTTTCATCTCGTAATGTTGCTTGTGTTTTAACGATCTCCGTGGTTGTAGTCTTACTTGAATATACATATACGTAATAACAAAAAAATGTATAGGTCCATTAAGAGAGTGAATGGAAGATCATACGACAACCTGGACTATGAACTCCTCCTTGGTGGAATGTCAGACGCTCGGTTGAGCGTTGATCAGGTGAACTCCCTCAAGTTCTACGATACCGTCCAGGATTCTTCAAGGCCTTCAAGGGCTACCAGAGCTGATGTGCCGCCGAACTGGGAACCTTCTAGAAATTCCTCCTATGTAGATTGCAGAGAGGACTTTGAGCCATCCATAACATCAGGTTTTCGAATGTCTAATGGCCATACCTCGACCTCGACCGACGATCGGAGCTCTTGGGAACAGGTTAGGTGTCATGTCATGACATAGAAAAACAAACATAAACTTTGTTCTCACCTAATTACTATAGTTAATGCATTACAATTTACAAGTACATATGGGATGTTGTTGCAGGAAGATTATGAGCGCCAAATGAAAAGACTGGAGACAGAGCTAAAGCAGACGATGGATATGTACCATGCAGCTTGCAAAGAAGCACTTGCAGCAAAGCGGAAAGTATGTATCCACATTGACCTTTCTGCAAAAAAGTTAATGAAAATTTACTGGAGTTTTTAGGTTCTTGCTGTTCTAGCATTTGCTCTTCTTTGATACAGGCTATGGAAGTTGAGAAGTGGAAGGTGAGGGAGGAGAAGAGGATAGAAGAGGCACGGGAGTTAGAGCAGAAGGTAGGACTGATTGTGGAGAAGGAAAAAGAAAGGATCAAAATAGAGGCAAATGAAGCAGCTCAGAGGTTTGTAGAAGCTGAAGTGGAGAAAAGGGTTAACGCAGAGATAGATGCCATAAGAGGATTTGAAGAGATGCAGGCCGATCTTAATGGTTTAGATAGCCTAGGACAGTCCCTATTAGTTCTCAAATATAAAAGCTTATATCACATTGTTTCAGTTTTGTTCCTCTTTTATTTTTACTTCTCTGTCTCCAGTTGGTGACACGAAAATGTATTACGAAACAGTTTGTGATCCAGATATCCCGAAAACATCATACAAGAGAGCCAATTTCTTAAGTTCAGAGCTATTGCAAGCCTAAATACTACCAAGAACTATAACAAATACTGCTTTCAAGTCATACATGACCCTAATGATAAAAGCAGTTGATGACATGAGAAGCAGATGAGATAGCAAGAACACAAACAGATACTAAGGTGCACAAATGTTCCCATGTTCATAACCTCGAACAGCAGGCCACTTTTAGACACCAATCACATCATTAGATAAATAAACGTCAAATGAGTGCTGTACAAGGGAAAAGTCCAAAACCCAAACCTGCATATTGTTTGCTCCTTCCTCAATAACTAGCCTTCTCCTGTGCATTGCTTTACACCTGAATCTCCAAGCAATAAGAGAAGCAAGATTGTTTATGAGAACAACCTCCACACAATTCGCTGCAGGAAGCCAATTAGCAGGTGCAATCCGCCTAAAATTAGGCCTGATGGTAATCTTACAACAGCAAGATGGACATCAATTTTTTTACATATGGCAAATACAAGTTATAAGGTCAACTTGACTGCTGCAACTCCCACAAGACTTGTTCATCAATCTTGGTAAACAATCCTTTGTCGTCTAGACGCTTCCAGGTTCTGATTCTTTCAACTCCTCTCCATGACATTTCACCTTTTCCCAGTTCGGCTGATATAACTCTGACCCTGCGTGGCCACCCGGGTTTTCCATAACCATGGTATCCAGATCCACCACCATAACAAAACCAGATGTCATTTAAAGTCCCGCAGAAATCATTGGTATGATCATGCCCCATAAAAACAGCCTTCACATCCCCCATTGATACAAAGGTCTTCAAGACTCCTGGGTTCACCAAAGAACAAGCAACGCCTTCCTGAAACTGGCCGACGATCTTCTGATAGTACAGCTGTGGAATTTCAGGAATTGGGATGTGAAAGAAAGCCAGTGCAGGATTTATAGGCATCCGTGAAACCTCTGCCATGTGATTGAGATTCTCAATCTGCTCCTGTTAGGTTATGACCTGCAACATGTTAATTGAGTCTAAATCTAAACATCCCACTTTGGGAATTGAAGAACAATGGTAGAAACAAAAGAAAAAAAGACCCATATTGTTATATACCTTATTTCGCTTTGAAACGCCACGAAGCCAATGAAGTTGAGATTCTTTAATCCACCCATAAGTACGTCTTCCTTGGACTACTTCTCTGTCTCCACTGTCAAGGAAGTAAAGATGCATGACGCTGTCATTTGCCAAAACAGAACCAGGCGGACCATATACTTGGAGATCGTAGTTTCCAAAGCCATCGATTTTCCTCCTTTTGGGTAACTCCACATAATTGGCCGGTACATCCGCCCATGGATTGACTTGTGACACTGAGTAATCCATAAGCGATATAAAAGACATTAATTCTTCCCGAGTCATTGTAGATTCTTGGTCATGGTTACCTAACACTGCTGCCCATGGAATTTCAGAGTCCATGGCTGGACCAAATGCACGAAGCAAGGATTCAGCAGCATCAGTTGTACTACTTCCAAAGATATTGTCTCCTGGTCATAGGAACTGCATACAAGTTAGTAACAGGGACAGTGTTCTTTGAGAGCTTCAATCTCTTATCACTGCATTTTAATGCAATAAACGGCAAAATTGTAAATTGCTACAGCTTCACAAATGGGTAAAGCCAATGCCATAGCAAACTCGGTAAAAAGGTTCAATTCCATATAAAAGGACAGTGCTTTCCATTTCTCATGAATCAAAGACAGTATATGAGGAACCATCCCCTTCATTTCAGCGAACTGGGTAACTCTAGAAGTTCAGGCTGAACCAAAAGTAAGTGGAAACCAGAAAAGGAGGGAACCTGTAAAAGCGATGAAATCGGGCTTCTCAAGCTCGATCATTCGCCGGACAAAGCGAGTGGTGTTGAGATCGGAGCAGTAGTCGAACTCGGAAGGCAGCACATCTCTGCAACGGGTGACCATCCCGGTCCCGAAATGCATGTCGGCGACCTGGAGGATTTTGAAGGTGCCATCGTCCCGAAATCGGAGAGGGAGATCCGGGGAACGCTTCAGGCGCAGCGGGTGGTGGCCGACGAGCAAATTGGTGGCGATTTGGGAGTGAAGGAGGAAGACGGTGGAGAGTATCAAAGTCAAATAAAGGAGGGAATTTGTCCATTTCGAAGCAGCTAGGGATTCCATCTTTTCCTTCAACGCAACGGGAGAATTGAGACAACTCGCGGAATCGGAAGTCGAGCGGGCGGGCGGGCAATTTGGGTGTCTGAGTCGCCGCTCTGCGATATGGTCAGCGGAGGAAGCTAATAGGTTGAAGACTCAGAAGACGACGAGCGGTGCTGCTTGAGGAAGCGACGTCGTGAAGACTTACTGTACGGCGTTTTAGCTTATCCTTTCATTCTTCGTAAATCGTAATCAATCTCTAGCTTGTCCTTTCATTTAGGGCTCGTTTGGAGAATTGGAGTCTAAATCTCTAGATTCTAGACAATCCAATGATTTTAAGTCTTTGGATTGTTGAAAAAAGATTTGAAAATGTTCATTGTTTGGTAACTATGATTGTTGACATCCAATGAAAAACGAAATTCTATTTTTTTTATCACATAACATGTTTATTCTTAACCAAAATAATTAGATTGGCTCGAAAAATATTGAAAATTTATTGGTAAGGGTATTTAGTGGGATAAATAAAAAAAACAAGAGATATAATAGGAGGGAGAAAATCTCCAAAATCAAGATGTAGAATCTCTCTAATTATGAGAGATTTGATATCTCTAGATTTTAGAGATTTAAAATCTTTGAAGTTACAATCCACGATACAAAAAGTAGCAAAAAAACATCACATTTTGCTAAATCTATGGATTCAATAAATCCACGATCCAAATCTTTTCTCCAAACGATCCCTTAGTGATGGCAATGGGGAGGGGCGAGGCGGGTATCTCAATTCCCATGCCCCGCCCCACGCTACTACGGGTCGGGGAGGGTAAAACCCGCGCGAGTACGGGGCGGGGCAGGTCGACCCACTCTTACATGTGGTTCAAAAAAATACAAGTAAATTTTACTTTTTACAATAAAACGTAGGGAAAAACACTTTAAGAATGAAAAATATTGATAATAGAATGGATAATTGAGCCTAACAAGTTGAAAGATCGACTCTAACTAGTTGAAGAAAAGTCAAAATAGGAGAAATATGTATAGATATTGTAAGAAAGTGAGATAATATGAGTCTAGAACGGTGCGGGGCGGGGCAGGACGGGTTGGAAGTAGATACCCATGCCCTGCCCCACTCTACTGCGGGTCGGGTAATACCCGCGGGGCGGGTTGAAATTGTCATCACTACTTTCATTTATTCTTCGTAATCAATCTCGGCCACTTTTGTCATTCACAAAGTTACATCATGTTCATGCCCGCCTCTGCAAAAAGTCAGTCGCCGAAATCAAACCTATTATAACGATTAGGAAACAAATAAAAAGCTTCTTAGTCACCGCATAGGCTATTCTATTGTTATCCCTCCTCACAAAACGAAATCCCAAACCTGAACATTACAACCGAAGACGCCAGAATTCCTCATAAATTGCACTGCCACATACTTCACCAACAACCCCCGCATTAACCTTATCAATAACCAGTTGGACATCCCCTTAAATCCAAACTGAGTGCCTCCCAGTGTCCACACACCATTGTGCTCCCTCTCATAACGCCAAAAATCCTACTTTACCTGGATAATCTATTCCTTCAAACAACATTCCTTTGGAAATCACCACCGCACAAGACTCCTCACAACCCCCCCCCCTTCTCACCTCAGCAGCATGAGATCCAGGGAAGATCGCTCCGTCGGAGGAACACACCACCCGACCCACCTCTCTTGCCTAACCATCCTCGACATACAGTACACCATCAATTGGCACTGGTCAGAGGGCAGTACCCGTCCCCAAGCTCGCCCCCGAATCCCATTCTACCACATGAGCATGGAATTGTCTAGCCAATGCCCTGAGCGTTACCCGGATCCCTTCAAATGTTACCAGTTGCAACCCTTCCAAATTCTCAAAAGCAAGCAGACTATACAGACTACCCAACAAGGAGAATCATCTTTAGCAAATAGACGTTGCAAGAAAATAGTCAAATAATCTCTTAGCATATCCTCTGCCACCTGAGCTAGCCCTACATCCCTCCATAAAGTTGCAACCACTAGACATTCCACAAAAAGGTGCTCCATAGTTTCCTCATCCGTCAAGCAAACGTGGCAGCGACCCAAAACAGGTATATCCTGACGACGGAGCGCTTCCATCATTGGAAATGTGTTATTTAACATTTGTCACATGAAAAACCTCAACTTAGGTTGCACCTGAAAAGCCCAAACCTTCTTCCAAATCCCAGCATCAACAAGGCTTGGCTCAGACCTCCATCTAGTCAATTTACGATCCAACATATCCGTCAATCGCTAACCTGATTTGACCATGTATTTCCCGAAGGCCTCCTTCGCCCAGATTATTTTTTCCATCAGATGGACGAGAGGAAGTGAGATCCCTCGAATAGTCCTGCACGTTCTTTTGGTGAAGTTAGTTCGCAGACAGTCTTCGCACCATCTCCCTCTGTCATGATTAATAAGATTCGATACCATTGCCTCTCCCAAGGAAGTCGCCCCTATGCATGTCTTCGAAGGTTCGGGATGGATCTTTGGGATCCATTGACCCTACAGAACAAGGATGGACTCACTCGACCCAACCTGCCAACCTAGTCCAGCCTTCAGGAGAGAACACTCTTGCAACACACCCATCCATCCCCACAACGGATGGGATCCCACTTTAGTAGTAAGAATAGAATAATTATGGAGATATTTTCCCCAATAAATCTGGACTAGTAGCGTATCTGGCTCCATGACTATCTTCCATGCTATTTTGGCCAGCAAAGTTTGACTGAATAGCTTGAACCGCCTAAAGCCAAGTACACCCTCATGTTTACTGCGACATAAGCGTCGCCACGACATCTATCTCATGTTTGAGCTTCCCTCCGAATAGCCCCACCCAAACCTTGCCGTGTGCTTGTCTAGTCGGCGATAGAGAGTGACAAAAATTTTAAAGCACGTCATAACGTGCACCCGCCCACAAGAGAGCCAGCAATTTGAAAAGAGTTTTCTTGTCACCCACGAGAGATGTTGAAACTTCCAACCTTGCTGAGGTTGCTAATCATCCATTGTCCGAAGGGAATATCCTGTCTTTTATCCGTCAAGTAGCAGTGGAACTTCCTCCAGATTCCCTTAGTCTTATGAAAGTGTCGAATGATATGCTTAGTTGATTGCTCTGCTGCAAAGCAGTGGTTACAATTCCCGTTCGTGGTCAGGTTCCTCTTTAGTCTTTCCTTGTTAGTGAGCAGTCTTTCATGGATCACGAGCCAGGAAATTTTTTTGGCACGAGCTGGCCCGCTCCATTTTTACAATTTCTTCCAACTCTTGTCGCTTTCCACGTCAAAATGGTCTTCCACAATATTGTACGTTGAATTCAGTCGAAAGCGATCGTCACTTTCAATGCCCCAGATCATCTTGTCCTCTCCCATTTCGCGATTGGGTACCTCCACACCTGCAATAAGAGTAACCAAACGAGGTGGAAGAAGACCATTGAGTCATTGTCAGTCCCAATTACCCTCATCGTCGACCCATCACGGCACTAAAGATTCTCTTTCGTTCTCAGGGATATCCTGCAGCAGCTCCTCTTCTAGGATAATACCACAGTCAATCCAAGGGTGCCTCAATAAGCTCGTCGTTTCCCCATCTTTGATGCTCCAGCAGGCAACACTTTGCACGAGTGGTAAACCTTTTTGGATTCCCTCAGGAGGTTAGAATGACTGATTGTCTTCATGGAGACAATTCTTCCCTCGCTGAACTTGAAGTACTTGTTCTGGAGGACATGCACTCATAAATCGTTCTCATTATTGAGGATATGTCATCCAAGCTTAATCATATAAGCAGTATTCAGGCTTCTAGCTTATCTCAATCCCAACCCACCCTGACATTTTGGTTTACAGATAGTATCCCAAGAAAGCAGATGTACTTTCTTTTTCCCCTCGTGAGAGCCCCACACAAAACACGATTTTCTAATAGCCAAAACGTCAACTTTTCATCTGGTCAACTGTTAGTTGACTCTGACGTGGCGAACTCTTTGATGAGATGGAATGTTTTTTTTATGACGTGACAAGAAGTCAAATATTTGACCTTGTCACATAAATAAATTCAATTTCACAACAACTTATCATTTTTTTCAAATATAAAATAAATTACAAAAAAAAAAAAAAAATATGGAATCAAAGGATTCCATTGTGGCAGAGAGACAGAGGCAAATAAGAATTGGAGAGGGTGAAATTGGGGTTTGTTGGCGACAGGGTTTCTAGCCACTGCGATCAAGAGGAAGCACAGCTCCATCCAACTCGGCAAAATTACTGGGATTCTACTCATGAGAATCAGATCACTCGAGCCATTTGGATGCTTCGCTCCTCGACTCTGCAGTCTCTTTGGCGGTCTCTTCTCGACTTTGTACTTTTCCAACAGACACTTTCATGGGCACCAGCACTGGCTCGCATTTTGTCGAAATCTTCTTCTTCCTCCTCCGTCGTCACTAGAGGTAGATCTGCTCCCTTTGTCATCGCCTCACTTAGCTTCACCACTCTTTCTCTGCCCCCTCCCTCCCCGACAGAGGAAGCTCCGCCTCAGTTGTTACCAACTTCTATTAGTCGCTCGCCGCCAAAAGAGTATTTTTCGTCGAGCAGCTCCAGGACGGCGGGTGAGTCGCCAAGCTAGCGGCAACAGACGAGGAGGAAATGAAATTAGGCTTAATCTCTGTAAAAAAATGGCAGAAGGCAAAAGGTAGTGGTGTAGCTTTCATGTCATTCGAGATTGACTTCGCTCCCACCGCTTCCTACGGCAGTGACACCATCAATGGAGGCCCATGTTCCCTCCTCGGCTTGCATCCGGAGACAGAACCATCCCAACGTCGACAAAAGGAGATTTGGGCAAGACTAATGGTCTCGAAAGTGTTTCGGGTAAGGGATTAGAATATATTCATACACCAACTCTCTTTTTTACGCCTGACAGCTCTATTTGGCGCAGATGGCAGCTGGTGATAAGGACGGTGGGAGGAACAACCATGTTCTTCCTCACGGCTATGGCAGGATGAACGCTCTCCACCTATAGTCCTCCAAAGCACTCCGATTTCCAAGCATACATATGCGAGATGGTAGTGGATCTAGTGGGAGTGCAAAACTAGTGAGAGACATTGCTGATGAGGAGTTTGAGACTTTGAGTATGAAGAAGAAGATGAGGAGGAAAGAAAGTCCATTAATTATGTGGATGATGAAGATGATCGGATTTGGTGGCTAATAAGGACTATATGGATGAAGAGTGATAAACTTGGAGCCTATGAGCTTGTCATTGCCTTTATGACTTATCTTAGCATTTTTTCATGTTTTTTTATGTTTGTTTTCTCTTATGTGAGAACTTGAACGTTGGTTGTCTAGGACATTATCAATTACAAAACTGCAAATTAGGGGTCGTTTGGAAGTTGTGATTGTTAGAGTTGTGTTTGTTGAATACATGTATTATGCACAATACAATGTTTGGAAGTGTCAAAGTGTAAAACAATGCATGTATTGTTTTAGGTAGGTCCCACCAACAATCACAAAAAATGATGCATTATACAATCTCAACTAAAAGTTGAGATTGTTGTGATTGTTGGTTTTAGATTTGTGTCAACTTTTTCTTTCCATTTATATCCCTAAAAGTTTTTGTCTTATTCTAAAAGTTGAGGGTAAATGTGGCATTTCCCCATAAAAGTAACTTTATGCAAATCAATGCATAAAATAGAATCTCAACAACCAAACAATGTATTGTTAAAATGCATTCATTGTATCTATACATGCATTTATATTATGGTGATTCATTACTATGCAACGATTTAACATTCGCAACTTCCAAACGACCCCTTAGTAAACTTATGAACTTTTATGTTAGATCTTGCACACGAAACTTAAATATCTATCATATTTTTTCATTGCTTAATCATGCTTAGGAAATGACTAAGATGCTAGTCTTATATGTTAAGACGATTAAAGTACAATTATTTGCCTTAGCGATTGTAATCATAAATAATAATAATAATAATAATATATTTAATAAATAATGTAGCTGCATGAACTGCGGTAATATGAGCACTTCTACTATGCTATATAGTATTGGTGCTTTAATGTACAACTTAAAATTGTACCATGACATTAAATGTATAAGTTTAGCTTGTACCATAAAGTAATTTGTATCATTATGTTATGGTACAACTTTAAAACTTGAAGTTGTACCATCATATAAAGGTACAAGTTTAAGTTGTACCATAAAAGAATTTGTACAAAAAATATAGGTACAATATGAAGTACCATAACGTAAATGTACAATTTTAAGTTGTACCATAAAGGTAAAATCCTATAGCACCAATACTATATAATATTATAAAATTTCTCGGGTAATATACTAATACTATCCTCGTTTTCAGTCCTACCTTTTCATGTCTCCCTGAAACCCCACAACTCTGGTGGTGGGGAAGAAGGAAAGAGAGAAGGAGAAGAAGAAGCAGCAGCACAACTCTGATAGCAAACAAAAAGAAACCCCAAAAGAGAGAGGCCTCCTTCTCTCTCCTTCCGTCGGGAGAATCCCTTTTCTGGTTTTCCATTCTTCCTTCACTCTCACTTCTCCTTCCCTGATCTCTGTATATTCCTTTCTATGGCGTCTCAACTTGAATCTACTCTAAACCCCTCCTTCAATCTCCCTTCTTCTATAATTCCCTAACCCCCTCCCACTCCCCCCAGTTTCTCCTCTCCAATTCAGCTCCGCCCTTTTTTTCCCCAACTGAAACCGGTTCCGTCAATTTCCACTTTCCGGAGATGGAGAAAAAGTCGCCCAGAAGCTTCGTCGACGGTGGAGTTGGGTTGGGAATTGTGGCCGCGATGACCGATTCGAGCGATCGTCGTCACCGCGCTCGGGATTGGACCAAATTCTCCCACCCGGCTGTTTCGCTGAGATCCAGTCCCATCCAGATTGTGTCCCTAGCGCGGCCGGCGGCCGCCAATTTCAATTGCGATGTGGGCTTGTCGCGGCATCCGCTCGAAAAGGAGGACAGCGATGAAGACGGCGGCTCTGACTCTGTGGTGGATGAAAACGATGAGGTCTACACTTGTGTGATTTCTCATGTTGGTAATGACGTGGTCAAGAAGTTTGTTTACTACGGTGACAAGGTTTCTGGGCTTCGGGACGACGCTGTGACCGTCTTCGACGTGAATCCTGTTGCTGCTGCTGCTGCTGCTGCTGGAATGTTTTACGCGTCTTCTTCGCCTCTGATGATGACCGCTGGTTTTGGTGGCGCTGCTGAAGGGTGGAGGAACGACTTCTGTAACCAAGATTTCCTGGCTTCTTGCTTTCTCTGCAAGAAGCTGCTCCATGGGCTGGACATTTTCATGTACAGGTAAAATACTGCTTTTCCTGTTTCTGTATTGAGATTTCGATTGGTTTTGTTTATGGAGTGGGATGATTGGTGTGGGTTCCATTGTTTGATTTAGAGGTCATATCATGTCTGAGTTTCACTAAAACTTTGGGAAGCTAAAATGGATGTTGCTGGTAGAAATCTTAGCCAATTCATGAAGCAGTTAACCCTCTTGAAGGGAGGACTAGGAACTAAGAAAGCCTGTGTGATCAAGAAACATTTTTTCCTGGGATTTTGCTCTCGGATTCGGGTTGTGTTCGAGCTTAGTAAGATATCATGTCTGTATGATTGCGTCCTGCTGATGATAGCTATGTCATGGTTTGATGTTCTTCTCTGGTTTGGATCTAGAAAGATGTTTTTGCTACCTGTTTACTTGTTTAAATTAAAGTTCCCAACTGAAAATCTGCGAACTTTTGTCGAATGCGAAGGTGTAAAAGGATTCAGATCTCGAAACCGCATCATTAAGCTTGAATTGCTTCAATGATTAGACCTTCTTGCCTTGTGCAGAACTTTCCCTTGGTGTTATGTGATTTGGTTTTGTTTGGATATCTACCATTAGGCTGCTTGCATTGCATCTTTTCACAAGACCAAATGGGTTTTTACTATTAGATAAGTCTTTCATAATATGTTTCTTGGTCCTTTATAAATCCAAATAGTGTTTCCCGGTAATAGTTAAAGCATTATTTAGGCCTGGATAGTTATTGTGAAAGCCAACTCTCTGCCTGCAATACCGGCCTAAAGGTGCCTGTCTCTGTGGAAATGTATGTTGTGCTCTTCGTCATTTTGAGATATTTTAACATAGCAGTAGTGCAGTACAGCTAATTGGGCACATGCAATAATTGCATCATCATAAGATGACAAGAAACAAGCTGGATCCAATGACATACGGTAGTTAAGTAAGTAACAAGTTGACAAATGATATGGAAGCAATCACTATACAAATGAACCAGAAGGAAAATCAGGAATGTGAGACATGTGGTGCATGCCTATGCCTTTAGAATTGCAGAGTTTTAGGTTTCAGATCAGTCCAAGGAACCAGAAGCCTGTTCCCAGATCAACATCCATCTGCTTTTCATTTTCCTTCTTACAATGGTTAAACATCGGGTTGTGTACATTGCTTTCTTGCTAAGATCATATGCCCTTGGATTAGAGGCTAGACAACCGGGATTGCTCCAACTGATGTGTTGTGAAGAAGCTATCCTTACTTGCTGCTGGTAGTTTTGGTTCCTCCACCCTATAGATCTTAAAATGTGCACAGTTTGAGTTTGGTTTTGGTTTTGGTTCACTTGTTGCCTTGTGCCACGCTCAATTATTTGACCAATTCTCTAATGGAACAAACCAGATATTTGAATGGAGGGGAGCAGTTGAGAATATCACTTGGTCATATTATAAACTATACTATTCCTTCCATAAAGAAGGCATCTTTCTCTTTCATTGGAAGTTATAATATGTGATCGTGATGGTGATGGTGAAGTGAGGAATAATTCTTGTTTGCTTTCAGCAAGTGGACTAGATTTCTTGTCCTGGGAAGTCAGGCAGGCATATATTTGTTTAGTTTGGGGGGGCCATCGAGTTTCTGAACTGCTATAGATATTTTGTATACGTCAATATCTCTGAAGTGGGTAAACTACTTGTTGCTTTGCAGGGGAGAGAAGGCATTTTGCAGCCCGGAATGCCGGGAGAAGCATATCAGGGACGAAGATTACCGAGAGAAGAATCATCGTTATGGCGAAATCAGGAAACGACCACACGAATGCTCCTTGTCTCCCTGCTCTTCGCCTCAGGTCTATCTTGCTGAGGTTGCTGCTGCATGAATAATACCCCTTTTTCCCTCCTATATCTTGGTTCTGCACAATATATACCAAGTAAATAACAGGAGCAAAGTTACAAACTTACAATCGGTCCACAGCGCGCACCCGGGGTAAATAACTGTGCCTTGAGGATGATGTATGGTATAGCTCTGAGGGTGGAATTTTGAGAGGGTGGGTTAACGCAGGCAGGTAGTGTTCATCTGGGAAATGGGTTTAACAGCAAGGAGAATTCATTTTCTGTGATGGAAAGATCTTTGTCTAGAGAGAAGCTTGGAGGGAGGGAATTGAATTTTGACTTTTTGTTACTAATATGTGCTCAATGTTACTGTATGAATATGAAGTATGAAGCTACCACACAATGATGCAGCAACCAGCAATGAAAATCATGTTTATATATCCATCGCCGCTGCTTTTTTTATTTTTTCTTCTTCTTCCTTCTCGGTAGGCAGGTTGGCAACGAACCAAGCTGTCTACTGAAGCAATAGTCTACATCGTTGCGTAGAAAAAGGGTTATGGATTTACGCAATTTGGTCACTTGCCTAGCTGCGTTAATTAAGTTTATGAATCCCTATACCGATCCGATCAATTAAATTGTTTAATCAACTTAAATTCTCCAAATCACTAAAGATAGTATACATAAGAATGTAGCATAGTACGCATATCTCAATATCAATATTCATATTCGTCCGCACTATATAAGAATAAGATATGATAATCTTTGCTTTCCGTCTTGTTTTTTTTGTTTCTTTTTCTAATTGTTGTTTAATTTAGAGTTTGTTTTGTGCATTTTGAATATGAATTCTAACGACTATAAAACAACATTCAAATTTTATCAGAATTAGTCTAGAAATATCATATGAGAAAATATGTAAAAAGTAAATTCTAAAACATAAGTTGAAGTGTTGATAAGTTGAATTTATTAAACAATAAAACAATATAGGACTTACTAAAATCAAAATTGCAGCTATTCGCGGTTTCAAGAAGGTTAAACAACTATGATTTTTTTATATCCTCCGGACCATGATTAATCATAGCAAACACCGATATTAATTCCAAAAGGAGAAGAAAATTGAAACCGTTCCTTATCTTAGAATACTTTGGCAAAAAAGGGGGGAGTACTGGACTGGATACAGCGTCATCATGGGCTTGGGCCCGGGACAGCCCTTGGTAATTGGTATTAGTTAAAGGCCCGCCAAAGCCTTCTTCTAAAAAGGCTACTATCGTAACTACACTCCTCAACAATTATGTAAACCCTAGCCGCCTCTCTTCCTCCTCTCCAGCTTATTTAGCTCTGTTTGCTTCTTCTCCTTCACAGAATAGCGCAATCGTTCAGCTTCTTCTCCGCTTCCCTTTTTACCATGGCGTAGCTCTCTAGATCTTTCTTTCTTGCTGGGTTTAGATTATGAAAAGGGTTGGGTTTTTGCTTGTTTTCTATGGTCTGCGCAAAGATTGTGTGTATCGGCGTTGTGCCCCGAGTGCACTCTGAAACCGAAAGATTTCTTTGCAACACCCAAAAACCAGGGGAAGATGGGCAGTTGAGTTTCACAGTGCGTTTTCCGCCATTGAAATCCCTCAACAATCATCTTCCCCACATTCGTTTTGCTCGATTGTTTCTTCAATCCTTCGAAAAGCTGCGCATAGATTGTGTGTATCGGCGTTGTGCCTGTTTTTTTAACAACAAAAATGCACTGTGGAAAAAAAAAATCCGAAACACCTTGGGGGAAGATGGGCAGTTGCGTTTCACTACTCTCAAAGTTGGAATCTTTCAACAATCATCTTCCCTAGACCCGTCCTTGAAAAAGCTTTCTTCTTAGTTTTGGCTTCGAATCTCTTGGCAAGTTTTTACAATGGTGGTTTGGTTTGTACAACGCGTAGATGTCCGGGTCGGCCGTTGTGCTGAATCTATTAGTGCGTATTAACTAGAACTAAACTAGGGATTACGTTATGGACCTGATAGTTTGCCTTCTTCTCCATTCCTGAGTGCTGCTCTGTGCTCTACCGGAAATTGGCACCGCCATATCAGTGAGGATCATTGAGTTCGGGTCGAACTAAACTGTGATAGTTGAAAAAAATTGGCCAAATTCACCTGTATAGCCAAAACTTTGACGGTTTTGCCAAATATAGCCACTTTTGGAGAAATACCAGAAATAGCCACTTCCGTCCAATTGTTTGACGGTGTTAGTTAACAGGCTGAGTGGACAAACGGAACATCCGATGTGGCTTTTATCGCCGAACAAGTTAATTCCACGTGGAAAAAAAAAGTTGAAACGGTAAATGCGTTGTTTTACACCTCAGTCACTTTCTATCGTTTTCATTTTCGCTTCCCTTTCCCCGAGTCGATATCCAGAGAAAACCCCTCTTCTCCGACCCCTCTTCTCCGACGAAGCACGACGCTCCCCCTTCTCCAGATCGGCGGTGGTAGTCGTCGACGACGAGAGCCTTTCCGATCCACGAACCCACCACAAGAAGCAAAACCCCTTTCCTCCTTTCCGATTCAGGAACCCTAAAATCTTTCCGAGCCTCCTTCCATCGAATCGGCCATGCCTCGCGGGGTTTCATAGATCCTCTCCACGTTCCGCCGTCGCGATTCACTGTTGGTGAGGGGGAATCGACCACTCAAGTCGGCCCTGGCCTTCTCTTCCTCCCTCGTCTACCATTAAACCCATAAAATCAAAAAAAATAAACTCAGATCTATGTTCCCAAAACCAGAATCAAACGAAAACCCAAAGAAATCGACATATAAGATAAAAAATCGCACAGACGTTCGTCGACGTTGAGAAACGGCGTCGCCCCCCGTCGTCAGTCTTCTCTTCCTCCCTCATCTGCTATTAAACCCAGAAAAAACAAAACAAAACTCAGATCTGACTTTTCAAAACCAGAACCAAACGGAAACCCCAGAGAAATCGACATGTAAGATAAAAAAACCACTCACCTTCGTCGCCGATGTGAAGGGCCGCGTCGCCCCTCGCCGTCGTCATTGTCATCGCCAGGCAGTGTTCGCCTCCAGTCTCCGCCAGCACAGTATTTTTTTCATTTCGATCGTTTTTTCCAGAAGTAATGAGAGGGAAAGGGGTAAATCGAAGAAAAGAAAAACAAGGCGAAGCCCTTTTTGGTTCGGTTCGGAGGATTGTGGGTTTGGAGGAGAAAAGAAAGAAATCGAGAAAGAGAAGTGAGAGTTGTCTGGCGAAGGGAACGAGAGAGAAAGAAAAAAACGAGAGAGAGAACGGATTTTTTTTTTACCCATTATAAATGACGTGGCATCCCACATGTCAATAGATGCTGAGGTGGTAAGGAAACACAAGGTGAGGTGGCAGCCACATCATCTGTCCGTTAAATAGACTAACGGTGTCATTGACGCTGTCAAACTATTTAACGGAAATGGCTATATTTGTCATCGAACTTTCAAAATCCTGGCTATTTCTGGTATTTCTCCAAAAGTGGCTATATTTGTCACAACCGTCAAAGTTTTGGCTATGCAAGTGAATTTGGCCAAAAAAAATTTCAGAGAATTTCACATGGCAGAGAGCATACACAGACCCCTTCCAAATTCCAATCGACCCCACACTGAAATATTGGTTCATGGAGAGAAAGATAAGGAGTAGGTGTTCGATTGCTAAGATAACAAGCCATGTAAAAGGCAAGAGGCCAATACTTGAGAGGGATATAAACTTGATCTAACTTAGCAAGACCATTATTAAAAATGTGTTGGTATTTTCTTTTCGCGTGTATATAGTTAGGAGGAACGATGAAGAATATCATTATTAGCTAGATAAAAAGTTAAGGCACGGTATTCACCAATCAAATTGAAAGCTTTTAATGGGAAGACCAAATAACTTTTCAATAAGTTGGCGGAATTGAAAGTTAAGAAGTTGTGATTTATAGGATTATAAGATAGAAGTTGTGATTTATAGCAAACAAAATATATTCAGAACTTACTATAGTGATCGTAAAACAATATATTTTTTTTTTGCATTGCAGGGAGGCCAAAGCCAAGAAAACAGAACCAGATACAGGGGAGAATTAGGTAGAGGAGGAAGAGCTTGCCACCACGTGGCGCTCAAAAGTAACACCTAACACATCGTCCCGCAGGAGAGGCACGACCCCAGGAGGTGGGTCTGTCAACTCATGCATCCCGTAGGGATAGACGAGACTGTGCTTCGAGAGCCAGTCCGCGACTCTATTCCCTTCTCGGTATGTATGAGCAAGACTGACCAACCAATCCTGGCTTAACTTACGCCGAATAAGTCCCAACAACGTAGCATAAGGATGAACGGGATCCTGACGATTCTTGATCAGCTGCACGGCCAACTGGGAGTCCGAGGCCACTCTCACAACGCGGTAGCCGAGCCTCCAAGTCATCTCAAGCCCATAGTAAATTGCCCACAGCTCCGCAAGGCATGCTGTTGCTGAGCCGATATTGGCAACAAAGCCACCTGCCCAATTTCCAAGCGTATCCCGCACCACTCCGCCTGCGCCAGCCATCCCGGGATTGCCGTTGGAAGCCCCATCCACATTCAACATGACCCATCCCTCTGAAGGAGGCTCCCATCCCACATTGGCAACAACACGAGCTGCTTTCGTCCTCCTGTGATCAAGTAGCAAAGACGGAGTATGCCAAGAATCGTTCCAAAGCTTACTCTTAATTATGATAGAGTGCATGAGGGAGGGGGCGGTCAAGGCTGCACCAATTCCTTTAAAGGAAGCCACAGTCCGATTCTTCCACAGTAACCAGATAGCCATACTAAAAAAAGCCGGCCAGCCAATACCCGAAGCCGTGGAGTCCTTGCTCAGGATATTACTGCGTAACCAGACATCTTGGGTTGAGGCGAAGAAATCATACTGCTTCTGCTGCGGCACCACTCGAGACCAAAAATAGCTAGCCGGTGCACAGTCCCTCAGGATGTGGATGATCGTCTCGGGCCGACCATCGCATCGAAGGCAACAAGGAGACGCAGCAACCTTCCTGTGATGCCTCAAGGCATTGGTAGCGATCCTGTCATGCATCACCATCCAAACAAAACCGCTAACTCGCTCAGGAACCGCTAGTCTCCATATAGATTTCCAAATGGAGTCCTCCGCCTGAGAACCCTCCCTCGCCAGCAGGGCATAGGCCGACTTGGCAGAGAACCGGCCATCCGCTGACTCTGCCCAGAAGAGAACATCATCCTCCTGTGAGAGTTTGTCCACCGCGGTGCTCAAGATCTTGCTGCAGATTTCCGGGGGCAGCAGAGTGAGGAAATGATCTGTATTCCAGCTGCCGTCATCTCGAACGAAATCAGCAACTGTCGCCTCTTCCAAAGCCTCCGGAATATCACCAATGGCCTCCTCCTTCAGCGGGCCCTGCAAAATCCACGGATCCAACCAAAATTTAGTATGCCTTCCATTCTTAATATTCCACGCACAACCTCTTTTAAAGAGATCAGCAGCTTTGGAAAGACTGCTCCAGGTGAAGGAACATCCCTGTCGTTTGCGGAGAACATCTAAACCTTGACGCTGCCCTCCGTACTTAGAGTAAAGGAGCTGGGACCAGAGGTTCTCCTTTTCCTGCAGCAGGCGCCAGCAACCTTTTGCAAGCATGGCAATATTTGCTTGCCGAGTGGGCCTAAGCCCTGCCCCACCCTGCTCCTTAGGCTTGCAAAGCGTCTCCCAGGCTAGAAGGTGTAACTTGGCCTTGTCCTCTTCGTCGCCCCAAATAAAGTCCCGGCTAATCTTATCAATGCTCCTGCACACACCACTTGGGATCAGTTCTGTATGCATATTGTAAACAGGTAAAGACGCAGTTACCGATTTAGCAACAGTTAGGCGGGCTGCAAAGGAGAGTCGTTTCGCTTTCCAAGGAGCCATCTTCCTTTGGATGCGCAGCACCAGAGACTGGTACCGCCCTTTGGTGACTCTCTCATGAATAGCTTGGATCCCGAGATATCTCCCCAGCGCCGCCTTGAGGGGGATCCCTGCAAACCTGCTCAGAAGTTCTGCTTTCCGACGGGCAATATTGGGGGAGACATATAGAATCGATTTGCTATAGTTCACCCTTTGCCCTGAACTGTAACAGAAATCAGCCAGGCAATCTTTCACAACACGAATCTGACGCCTCTCTGCTTCGGCAAAAAGCAGCAAATCATCTGCAAAAAAAAGATGAGTTAGTGGCGGCCCAGAGCTGGTTAGCCTAATAGCCTTCCACTGCCCATTGCTAGCCGCCTCATCAATCCTGTGAGATAATCTTTCCATACATAAAACAAAAAGATAGGGAGAAAGAGGGTCTCCCTGTCTCACTCCTCGAGAAGGCGTGAAGGGCTGTGACAGCTCGCCATTCCACCGGATCCTCATTCTGTTATTCTCGACACAGTACATAATGCACCTGATCCAAGAGCTAGGCAAACCGACTTCCATAAGGGTATCCCGAAGAAAATCCCATCTCAGCATATCATACGCTTTTTCCAGGTCAATTTTGAAAACCAGTCCTCCCTTCTTGCCCTTCCTCTTCCGAAGGGAATGCAGCACCTCTTGAACCACGATGATGTTATCCGTGGTTTGTCTGCCCGGAATAAAGCTGCTCTGCCGAGGCGAGATCAGTTTCCTCATAAGAGGCTTGAGTCTACTGGTCATTGCCTTCGTGATGCTCTTGAGGCAAACATTGTTGAGGGAGATGGGCCTGAGCTGGGATGCTCGCTCTGGTGCCTCAACTTTAGGAATGAGGACTAGAGTCGACTCTGTAACTGCGTCAGGTAGCACGCCGTTGTCGAAGAATGAGACAGCCAGATCTGCCAAGGATCTCCCCACCACTTTCCAGAAATGTTGATAAAAGGCTGCATGAAAGCCATCTGGTCCTGGAGCTTGGAGGGGTTTCATATCAAAGATAGCTTTGTGGATATCAAGGATAGTAAAAGGCCTGAACAGTTCCGTTGCCTCTCCATGACTCAATCTCGGAAAAGCGCTCTTTGGCATCCTGTCCTCATACTGCATATTCTCCTGGAGATAGATGTTAGTAAAAAAAGAGAAAACCAGCATTGCCAAAGCTTGAGGATCCGAGACCCAGTCCCCATTCTCATCCTGGAGTGCCTCAATCTTATTGTAGCGCCTCCTGATATTGACCTGCTGATGAAAATACGCTGTGTTCCTCTCCCCAAATTTAACCCAGTTATCTCTAGACCGCTGGAACCAGATAAGTTCTTCTTGCTCCAAAACTTTGTCCAACTCGGTCTCTAACTTGGTATGAAGCTTTGCCAAACCCGGAGTGAAAAAAGTGGCCAAACTGTGCTCGACCCCTTTAAGGCGCGCCAACAGCCTGTTCTTCTTCCGCCTCACATTCCCAAAAGTGGTTGCATTCCATTCCATCAACTTATTGGAGAGAGCAGCCAAGGCATCTTGGAGCGGGCAGGAAGGGTTCCACGACTCCGTCACAACCTCCTGCAGGCTGTCATTCGTGAGCCAGGCCGCTTCAAATTTGAACTGGCGAGGCAAAGACTGATGTCCCTGCTGGAGCTCCACGGTTGTCATAATTGGATTATGGTCTGAATGGAACCGAGGGAGGTGCACCACGGATGTATTAGGATAGCTCGTATTCCACCTAAGATTGCATAAACTCCTGTCCAAGCGGCTGGCTTTATAGGTATGCTGCTGATCGCCCCTTGACCAAGTGTACTTAGGACCCGAAACCCGAGGTCAACCAACTCGGCTAGGTTCATACGATCATTAAACACTTGACATCTTCTCAGCGTGTTACTCTTAAGAGGACCCGACTTCTCCTCAGGTGAGCTGATGGCATTAAAATCACCTGTGAGTAACCAAGGAATATCAATATAATGGCTTTGGGCAACAAGGCTATCCCATAACCGGCTTTGTTCACTCGTCCGGGGAGAGGCATACACCGCAGTTAACATCCAGGGGCTCCCCATAGGTTGGGAAACCCGCAAAGAAATCTGTTGTGTGCAGGCAGAGAAGAGCTCAACTGAGAAGGCTCCTGCGTCCCAGAACACCCAAACTCCGCCCATCCTCCCGTCAGCCTCTACCCTTATGGAATTCGGAAATCCCAATTTATCACAAACTCTGTTCGCAGCCTCCCCACTGATTTGGGGCTCCTGTAACACCACAAAATCCGGCCGATGACTCTGGATGGCTAATTTGAGTGCTCGAGAGAAAGCTTTGCTCCCTGCACCCCCTACGTTCCACGAGAAGATTTTGAGCTAATCCATTAGCAAAGAAGATACCAGAAGTAGAGAGAAGAAGAGACAAGTCGATCCGTCTCTGCAACCATCAGGTGGAGGTAGGCGTGCCATTCACGGGTTCGCTTGCTTTCTTAGAAGCCGAATCCAGCCTCACTGTCTCCATTTCTTTCGAAGCATCTGTATTCCGCCTAGCTGCATCAGTCCAAGCAGCAATCTCCTGAAGAGTCAGAGAGACTATACGAGACTTGGATTTGACTTTCCTCTCCTTCACAGGGGACCAAATCTGCAACGCCTTCAACTGCTGTAGTTTGGCGGGAGACCCCTTCGATTGAGGCTTCTTGTTCTTATTTCGCTTCGTCCTCTTGGCCACCGATGGCGATGAAGTAAGAATTTCGCCGCGACCGTCCTTGTCCTCATGCTGGTGAACGACAATTTGCATCAAGGACCCATTCTGCCCTTTCACCGTGCGAACAGAGGGAGGAGATGGAGGCTGGGTCGTATTCGAGGTATGGGCCGTGGCTGCTGGGTCCACAGTCATCCTCGTCCTTGGTTTTGGATCTGTCGGGAGGGCCGAAGTTGAGGCCCCACTGCTCTTTTTGGCTTGGCGCGGCCCATTATCAGAGTGTGCCGGGCGGTTGGGCTTTGGCCCAAGAACTCCCTTCCCGTGGCTGATATGTTCAGAGGTAACTTTCCCCTTTCCCTTCAGCACTTCAGCTCCCCCCTTTCTCGCCGTCGCTCCTTTCCTTTCCTGGCCTGCGTCCCGTTGAGTCCCAAGACCGTTAGGCGTCGTCGTAGAAGGTAAGGGCTTCACTGGATCCCTGATTCCCGCTACCTCCTTCCCTGTTTTACCTGTAGCATCCGAGATTTGGTTGCCCGAGTCCATCTCTGACTTTCCCTTTCTATGAGAGTCCCCATTATTCCGCCGGCCTTTCCGCGACACCAACATCCATGGCCCGAACCCCGGCCCGGAATCTTCCTGCTCTGCTGGTGGGGTCAACGGCGGCGTACCGCCGGCGATCATCAATTGATTCCCTTGAGTCGCCGGTTGATTTCGCGGGCACCCTGGCAAGGAATGTCCGATCTTGCCGCATTTGAAGCAAACCTCAGGGAGGTTTTCGTATTCCACTTTCTGCCAGTCATCATCGAGCCATATCCTTGGGACCAAAGGTTTGGAAATATCCACCTCCACCGCTAGGCTCGCAAATTTGGCTCGTTGCTGGGTCAAGGTATGAAAGTCCAACTTGATTGTTCTCCCTAAGAGATTCCCAAGCGTATTCAAGACCTCTTTGTGGTAGAAGTGGATCTTCAAAGCTGGAAGTTGCACCCAGACAATCATCTTCTTCGGTAAGGGGTCCGACGCCTTGAAATTGGGCGTCCACTGCTGAACTACCAGGTAGTGATCGAAGATCACCCATGGGCCATCTGTCAGAGCTCGAAAATAATCCTGCTCGTTGTCGAGCTTAACCAAGAAGCAATCGTGGTCTAAATCCTTGACTTCCATGGCCCCTGTAGGTCTCCATAATCCCTTCAACCGATTGCACAGGGTCATAAAACCAATTCGCAAGCCAAGCAAGCGAATCACCAGAGTCCTATGCCAAGGAGCAAAAATCTTTTCTTTGAACGCAGATGAGATTTTCAGGGCTGGTTCACCATTGTGCTCTCCCGTCACTAGATCATGTTCCCCAACCGGAGTCCACTGAATTAGTTGATCAGGATTAAGAGACCTGGCTGTGGTGCCCGAGACCGCATTCGCGTATGACCCCGGAGCCTGTCCAGTTACCGCGCCGCTTGTCGGTTCAGCTTGAATTTCCATTTCCTTGATCGTGATCCCCTGTTGAGACAAAGACAAGGAAGAACCATCAATTAACATATCCGAGGAGATGGTGGCAGAGGCCACGCTCGCAGGCAAAGAAAACAAAACGGTATCAGTAGATGGGACTGGGGGGTCCGGCGGCCGGTCAGAAGGGAGGAGTGCCGGTGCCGGAGCGGGGTTTCCGTCGCTAGCAGTTGAGAGCATTTTTTTTCCCCTTTTATTTAATAATATATATCTTCCTCATAAAAAAAACTAATGATCATAAGATAGAAGAGGAGCAAGGCCTGAAAAATCACTAAAAATAAGTTTCAAAGAAGCAAAAGCACGATAATGAGATTATGGAAATGAGAGTTTATGGATCTTACTAAGAGAACAACCATGACACAAGGATGAAGAACTATCATGATATTTTATTTGATGACTGGACAAAAGATTATTAACGACTTTAAAATTGGCATGACCTAGATGTTGATGCCAAAGATCAAGGATAGCAGTGAACTGTGTAGGCACGAGGAAGGGCACGACTTTGAATGTGGCGGTCCTTAATAAAAAAAATAAGAATCAAGAACTCATCGAAAGAAGGTTATACCTTATACGAGCATTTTGGACACGAAGAATATTATTTAGAGCATTAAACCTCTATTCCAAGGATATGAATTCACAATTCTTAATGCCGATTATTCATCCCCATCAGCCATTAATTGACGAAACAATGTTTTATTATTTATTGCAACAAAGATTCTCAACGAAGTACAAGGACGTTCGGAAATCCTTCCAAACGCCACTCACAACAATTTTTCACTTGGAGGATCTCATTATCATCTTTTTCCTGGCTTGACGCAGCAAAGCTTCAAACCGGCCTTTGCAGACAGCAGCCACAAACTTTTTTCTACGTTCAACCAGTTTCACCGGAGAGTTCGTATAAACAAACAGTAACCAAACTCAAAGCCACCTAGGAACCAAGATGTCAGGTCTAAAATCTAAGCACATAACAGGTTACAACATTGAATATTCCCTCAAAATGGAAATCTGAAGAAACGCTCCTAAGCATCGTCAAAGTTCTTCGAGAACAATCTATCAGAAGATCAATAGATAAATTAAAGCTGCTTAAACAACTCCTTCCTTGAAAACCATTGCTTTTCACTCTCGAAGAATCGCATCTATGCAGTTGCGCTGGCCAGTCCCTTTACTGGCACAATCTGTTGAGGCTGCAAGGGGGAAAAGAGAGTAGAACATATAACCTATTTCACATGGGATAAGTGGTGTAACATATATGCTCAGCCAGGACCAGAAGGGTTGGAAAAAAGTAACTTACTGCTTGTAACTCGTCTTCATGTTTGGGAATGAATGCTGTGTCGACGTTTCCATTTTTAAAGTCCTGTTGTGGTGAAGGGAGCTCATGAGTCTCGATTTCCAACAATGCATTCCGGACATTTCAGGTTTCAACCAGAATGGAAATGAAAATTAAAAGCATACCTCAATTTCAAGGATCAATTTATGATAATCGATTGTTGTTGGAACTCCTGCATCCAGGGAAAGAACGAATCAATCATCCTTGTTCAAAGCCTAGGTCTAGTAAGGAGTCACAAGAAACCTTGATTTTTTCGGCCTCAAAGCATCCCATGAACCACTGAAATCCTACTGATTTTGTGGTAATGTCTGCTATTCTAAATATTTTTGCCTTTGACACAAAGCAAATAGTTCAACATTCTTTCCACTCAGCATTCCAATTACACAGCCCATTTATCCTAACAAGAATGAAACAAATCTAATATGGCGGCAGACAGCAAATATGTAACAGACTGTAATCAAGGAAAGGGTTTGGATAAATACCTGTAATTATAGTATCATTGAGAGCTCTCTTCATACGTTCAATTGCCTTTTCTCTTGTTGGGGCCCAAACAATAAGCTGCAATAAGAAACCCTTTTTAGTGCCAGTTTGTAAGCAACCCTTTTCCACTTAGCGACATAATCATGACAGCTTCAAATGCTGTGAATACAGGCTCTCATTCAGTCATTGTTGCCAATGATAAGTAAGAACACATAAGAATGAGAGGAAACTCGGTCTTGTAGCACTTTAGTATTTCAACTCAAAGCTTTGGGTACCAAACATAAGTCTTTTATGGAAGCATAGGGACAGGGGTCTGCAAAGAGAGTTGGGAAATTATATAGACTAGTAGGGTTTTTCTACAAAGGGATGCTATAAGGATTGGGACCTAACAATCTTATAAAGATACTAACTCAGCATCATGATAACTCGAGGGGTTTAAAAAAGGACATCCCATATTAGAACATGCCTTCCATTTTCCTTCCCCAGCTGTCTATCTCAGTGAATTGCTTTTATGGTGCCAATGTGAAACTGAAAGCTAAACATTAAGATGGAAAGACGAATTCTTAGACCAACTATTTCAGGAAAAGATGTGTATGAAACACTTTGACTTGTAAAACTAATTTGTCCAGAAATGCTAAACCCCAACCCACAAAATCGTCAATACAGACAACCAGAACTACTATTCCAAAATCACAATTTCAAAGGTACCAAAAACAATTAGGCAAACAATCAGAGTTGCACAAATGCAGATGTTGACCAGTTTCACACTTCTAAGTTCTAGAACGTCTATGTGTTGCCATTGCCACAAGTGCAGCAGTGGATGCTGCTATAAATAGCTAACATGAGATTGTTGCAAATAGAACCAAAAGATTAAGAAAAACATACCTTTCCAAGGAGGGAATCATAGCTTGGAGGAACAACATAATCCGGATAGATATGACTGTCCATTCTAACAAAAGGCCCTCCAGATGGCAAATACGCAGTTATTCTTCCTGACGAACAAGAGAATGGCGAGAGGTATTCAGAAAAGTACTCCATTTCTTTAATTTTTAGTTTTCTATAGGGATAATCAAAGCAATGAAGAAAAGAAAGAAGCACACAAATTTCCCACACAAACACAGCCGGAGGTATATGCTGTGCAATACACACTGAATAGAGAAAAATGAAATTTAAGAGTACCCACGAACTAAACACCTTCCAGAAATCAGGAAGTAGACTGCCCCAGCGAGATTAAAAGATGTGAATAGAAATAACCTAGAACACATCAGCTAACACAACAAACTGAATTGTAGAGAACACCCAAAAAGTATAATGACTAAGAAATCAGCAGTTTTTATACTTGGCTGTGAAATTTTAAAAGTTGAGATTTTAAATAACAATAATTCATCTAGAAATAGCTATTTAAACAATGAAAGATGATAGCGTAAAAGACAGTCCAAGATACCTGGTCCTGGCCTGAATCCCTTAAATGCATCCTCTGCATTAATCCGGCACTCAATCGAATGTCCTCTTAGCACAATATCCTCCTGTAGGACAGAAACAGCAAGAAATGCACCACTTGGTTATTATATAGTCCAGTAAAAGTTTGTTGAGACAACTGCTGTTTGTTTTAATACCTGTTTGTAACGAAGTTTCTCTCCCATAGCTACCCTGATTTGTTCTTCAATCAAGTCCACAGATGAAATCATTTCAGTTACAGGATGCTCAACCTGCATTTTTCCAAGAAGAAATTATGTTGGGCACATTCCACAGTTCAACTGAATAGGAGTAGATACAGAAGACCTTAGCTTCTTGTCATATTAATGAGCTATTCTGACCTGGATACGAGTGTTCATTTCCATGAAGTAAAAGGAACCCCTCTCATCCAAAAGGAACTCAACTGTTCCTACACCAATGTATCCTATGGATGCTGCAGCTGCAACTGCTGCGTCACCCATGGCTTTCCTTAACTCTGGGGTCAGTGCAGGAGAGGGAGCTTCTTCAAGAAGCTTCTGGTTACGTCTCTGCAGGAGAAAGCACATGCAAGAGAATTTGTCACATGTATACTTTTTGGCGCCAAGAGCACTACCCAGTGACATAAAGGGACGAGAAAATCAACATTGAGACCTGGAAGATTTTGAATAGTGTAAATTTACATTTGCCAATAAGTTATTCAGAAACTAATATAGTTGATGCTAGATGATTGTGTAACAACCACAAATGATCTAACAGATCAATCTTTTATAATAACTACATGTAGAAGAAGTAGTAGAGCTGAAAAGGTGGTGCCTTCAGACTCTAATTTTTAGATGACATGGTAACTAGGCAACTAGCCACATGCAGGAAGGACTACCATGCAATTGCAAGAGATCATCAAGGGAGCACTAGCGTAGAAAATTAAACCCATACAATACTTGCAACAAATTGCCCAGGATGACTACTGCTAGAATGGTACATTTTCAAATTTAGGGACAGCGTATACCATGCATATTTGACAAGTATGTGACATGAAAACCATTGTCCTAATCACAGAAACCGAACAAGACAGAATTGGAATTAGTTTGACTACAGAAGTTTGAAGAAGATAATTGACCAGGGGCTGTGTTATTTTTAAGCCCCTTTTGTCCTTAATACTTGCATCTAGGTACGTGAAGTGGAACAAGAAGCGAGAGTTCACCATGGTTAAATTCATCAGAGTAACTAAACTGATTAGGATTGTAATATGATTAAACAAGTACTTGTCTAAGAAGAATAAAGAAAAATATACCTGGATACTACAGTCTCGCTCCCCGAAGTGGACGACATTTCCATACTTATCTGCAAGGACCTGAGGATACAAACCAAATGCTTAGAATAGCAAAGCATGGTCTTTCTATTACCAAATATGGGGATCAGTAAAGTGAGCATTCTTGTTTGGCTTCTAATGAATAATGATTGTCAACAGATACATGATATTTTAGCAAGCAACATCAGAACCATTTCCCACCACCCTTGATTAAGTGGGTAGTGGATAAATGGATTCCAATGTTCATTGCACTGTTTTATCATTGGCTATTCCTACACGCATGCATTTCTCTTTTATGGATACTGGTTACAGACTACATTCTAGGCAAGTGGAGACAGTAAACCAAGGTTTTCATGTTCGATTTTAGCAGGTATGATGTATCCATGATAGTATCGCAAAACCAGCACTGAAAGGTTTCTTGTAAAAGCAACAAATACCTGGAACTCGATATGCCTTGGATTTTGAATGTATTTTTCCAAATAAACTCCATCATTTCCAAATGCAGCAGCAGCTTCACTCTTGGCTTGCTGTTTTTGAGAAAAGAAATAGAACCAAATACCATTAGCACAACTTATGGGACCCTATCTCACTTACAGAAGAAAAGCTTATGAAGCCCTAACTAAGTTAGCATGTTACAAGAACGAGTTTTGCTTCTGGGTAGAACTGTACAGGAGAAAATCTGTCTTGCCATATTCTCATTGAAACTGTTGTCTCCAAGCCACTGTCCCAGAAATTCTTAGTTTAACAGGAAAACATACGATTTCCAGATTTTGTGCATCTTACAGTTTATGATTTAACAGAGTAGAAATGAACAAGAACAGTGAAGGCTAGATGGGACATTCCCGAACTTAAAATACCTGTAGCAACTTCACAAATTCTTCAGGTTCTTTAGCAAGGCGCATTCCACGCCCACCACCACCTGCCGTTGCCTAAAGTGTAGATGAATGCAATGTCAGACAAAAATTACTTCTGAAGCCAACCAAAAAACTGTTCCACTTGCTAACTGGATGAAAGTCACAAAATTGACTAGATTCTAAAGCAGCAAATAATGACTACTGTCAAGTGGATTAGTGGAAATCACTGGGAAATCTAAGCAGATTCAGGTTATTGAGATGAAAAGAATAAAGTTGATAATTTTTTGTTCCAAAAGAAACATCAAATTCATGTAGAAAGACAGATGAGAAACCAAAATATAAGCTGAAATTACCAAAAAACCTAACAAAAGCCTTTGCCTGAGTACTTAGGCAAGAAGCAGGATGCCATATTTATACATACTACAGTTCCCATATTCTAACCATTTTTGGATGCATTGAATTATGATAATTGAACAAATGAGCGACGAAGGAAACTTATCTAACCTTGATCATCACAGGATAACCAATCTCTCCAGCCAGTCGAATTGCTTCCTCTGTAGTCTGCAGTCGAAGGCAATTGCGGAAAGTTAAAGAAGCACAACTGATTATACCATGCACTAGCTTCTCAGGTATTGAATAACATGCCATATGGGTCGAAGAAGTTACCTGCAACAACCCATCACTTCCTGGGACAGTTGGAACACCTGCATTCTTCATTGTTTCTCTGGCCGTTGATTTGTCACCCATAGTTTTGATGCTATCAGGCTGTTAAGCAAAACGGGAAAAGGTTACAATTTGTGAAGAAGAGTGTATATGAACGTGTCTCCACTTACAATTCAGTTTTCTGAACATCAGTGTCTTTTAGCTTCATTTCATGCATTGTAAACAGTTCAAGTGAAATCCAAATTTAGTTATTTAACAGATTTATAAGGAACAGGTCAAGAGGACACACAGGAATCAGGTACATAATAAAGGCACAGAAAAACACTCGAGTTTAGGTTTGTGGTCATCCACTAACATTTGGGCCAATAAAATTTATTCCATGTTCTCTACACATTTCAACAAATGTGGCATTCTCAGCAAGGAACCCATATCCAGGATGAAGCATGGTGCATCCACGGCTGATTGCAGCAGACAAGACATTTGGTATCACCAGGTACCTGTTGAAAAAGAAATTTGCTCTTCAATTCTTCTATCACATAAATGTTCAATGCATTGATCCTGTTAAATGAAAATCTTTTACAATTAAGTGTCACTTCTCAATCCTGGTATTGTAAAGAACTCACTGTTCGGATCTTCAACAATGAATTTTAAGAGTAGTAAAAAGTCATGTCATAGAGTGTACAGCTGATATTAATAGCAGATCATGACCTGGGATGATAAGGTTTAAAACCTAACCGAGAACATCTGTTGAATAAATTCAAAACGAGTAACTGGCCCCTAGGTACCACGCACATGTTCTGCACTGCTTTCATATGTAGTTTTCTAGCACCAATTATAACTGATGCTAAAAGACTACAAACAACACATGACTAAGAACCATAGTGAAAATGAGAATCAAAACAAAGGAAATTGTGACGCTTACGACTGATTGCTTGGTGCTTCACCTATGCAAACGGATTCATCAGCCAATTTCACATGAAGGGCATCCTTGTCAATGGTTGAGTAAACAGCAACACATGGAATTCCTAATTCATGAGCAGTTCGAATCACACGAACAGCAATTTCTCCTCTGTTTGCAATCAGAATCTTTTCAGCACGGCAAGTAGCACCAAGAGCTCCACCGCTCTTCTTAGTTTTATGACCAACCTTAGCAGCACAAGCTCTTTGCCTAGGGAAGTTAACCTTAGTCCCCACCAAAAAGCTACATTGTGAACTTCTTATTCCTGGGTTTGATCTTGCGAATACACCCTGGCATCAACCAAAGCGTTTCAGAACTTTATGTTTGGAGTATCAATTTTGCATCGGTAAACAGAAACTAATAACAGATGTCGCTAGGTTCTTAATTTTGAAGTTCTGACTCATGAATCAACTATTTCCATCATAAAGGAAAGGATCAATGAAAATTCCTGACGTTTGAATGAGGAGATGGCTTATGCATTCAGAGTGAAATTGTTCGTATACAAAAGTAGTCTTTTTTGCGCTAAAACATTTATGAGTGCAGGTTGAGAGCGTTAACTTCATAAAATAAAGTCAATATTTAAAAAAAGATGAGAATGTTCTGTAGCAACAAAACAGATAAACAAACATCAAAAGAAAAAATGATCCACACATAACACGGCACAAGTTTTCTATAACTGTAACAATTGGTGTTTTTAGACCTCAAGATATAAACTGCCAATTCCTCTCACGGATGAGACACAAGAAGTCAAGCGCTCACTGAGCACTCATTTCATCCAGCATCCTCCAGTGAAATGCTAAAGTTCAAGGCAGGCAGTGACACTTAGATAATCCAAAAGAGGCGAAACGCCAAGGCATTCCAAGCTCAAGAGAAGTCTTAGAAAGCAGTTTTTAGCTTAATTCAGAACTACCGTCCAAATTAATAGGAGAAACAACAGATTTCAATGTCTATAATTAAAAAAAGCCCACGAACTTACAGGAACGGAGGTAGCAGAGGTAACAGATTTGCAGGCAGGCAATGTGGCCTCCATCTCGGACAGTAAGCGGAGAAACTGAACACAACCCAACTCCAAATTTCAAAAACCCAGCTGGATAGACAGCTAAACGGAAACAGTTCAAACGGAGAAACAGATCGCAAAGTTAGTTACCCGAGGATGGAGACGAGTCGAGATGCTCAGCTGGAATGCGAACTTCTGTTCCAAAGAACAGACAACGCTTATGTGAGGAGTCAAAGAGAAAGATGAAGCGGAATGGGGGGAAGGAGCTTGTGGGTGGTTTAATAATGGCGAGAACGATGCTGAAGAAGAGAAGTAGGGGGTCGATAGAAACGAGGAAGGGGGAGAGTTGGGGGATTGAATACTCCGCCTGATTTACTAGTTGGCAACCCAAACAAAACCCAACTCACTTCTTCTCCGTTGTGAATAACAAGATTTTTCCGAAAAACTTGATCTTATATGATTACACATATAACGGATTGGTCCCTCTATCTTTTACATTGTACAGTATCATCCATGGATGACAATCTTTTTATACAAAAATATTTGGCAAAATACACTTTCATAGCCAAATTTATTCGCGTTGTGACAAATATAGCAAGTTTTTGAAAAATACACTCGTATAGCCACTTTTGAAAACTTGCTTGACAACTTTAGCCATTTCCGTTATAAACTTTAACACCGTTAACTCTTCAATGATGTGGATGTACACATCATCAAATGTATGCCATGTGTCAGCCACCTCAGTTTAAATTATTATTTTAAATAATTTTCTTAATTATTTTTTCACCACTATTCTAATCAAAATGAAAAATCATTTAATTTTTTTCTCTCAATTCTCCTTTCCCCTTCCCGGAGAGAGCAGAGATTCGGATCTAATTTTTCTCCCAATTCTTTCTTTTCTTCTTCCCTGAGCCGCCGATCTCGTCGTTGTCGGCTTCATCCTCTGTTTGTCATTGGGTTGGAGGAGAAATCAGGGGAAATCATCTTCCCCTTCATCTTCTTCCTCGCGCCAGAAACAGAGGAAATCATCTTCTTCTAGCCATTCACACATCAAAGCAGAGACAAGTTCATAAACCCCAATTTTGAATCAACCAAGAACCAGCATTGAGATTTGGGAGAATCTCCCAAACCACAAATACGATTTATGAATTCTCTCCTCAATCTTTGTCATCCTAAACCCTAGAAATTTCCCCCCAAAATATGCATCCCAATTCGCGTCAGGTTCTCCTCAGAACCCCGAATTCTCGCCGCCTCCAAACCCTAACCTTCGATCCATCCCAGCCCCAAATCCTCCGCTCTCTGAAGGTCTCTCTGATCCCCGACCATGGAAACCCCGACGCTTTCTACTTCACCGCCAACGGGAAGCTCCTCTCCGACGACTCGATCCCCATCGGAGGCCTCGCGATTCTGGGTTCGCCGACCTCGCCTCGCTTTTCTGGAATCAACCGACGGGTGCGACGAAGGATGATAGCGACGATTGCCCGGCTGAGACGACGGATTAGGGTTTGCGCCGTCGTCGGGGTGTGGTCTTCAATCGATTCGTCGATCGGGAGAGATGGGGGAGCTGTGTTTGACGAGAGAAGAGGAAGGGTAAATCGCGTGAATGGTAAAAGGAAACTCGATTAATTGGTAAAGTTAGATTTAGGGTTTTACTTTTTTTTAATAATAAAATAATCTACAATTTACATCTGTCCTGCCACGTAGATTAACAGCGTCCACGTTGCAAGCGTCCATTAGTCCAGTCAGCAGTCGTCAAATTCCCGTTAAAGTTTTGGACGGAATGGCTATACGAGTGTATTTTTCAAAAACTGGCTATATTTGTCACAACGCGAATAGATTTGACTATGAAAGTGTATTTTGCCAAAATATTTAGGGATTATAATTGTAGGGCAATAAAAGTGTCCGATTCTGATCATTCAAGATCTCGTCAATGAGGAGAATACACTCATTGACCATGTATAATGTAGATATATGAGGAATATTCAGAAGGATAATAGTAGACATGTGTGAGGAACCGACGATTTAGATGCTTTCGAGAGTAAGAAGGGTTAGTGAAAATGCGTCGAGACAATTTTTGCGAATACTATGCGCGATGGCGCTGAAGTAACTCATACTTTCGGTCGTATTCATATATATCGTGAATTTGATGCATATATGATAAATAATATACACTTGATTATATTTATCTAATTTGTTGCTCCATCCTCCATTTGAAATTACAAAATAAAACAATTTAAGTTCCATAACTTCGCCTTTGGGATTATAGTAACTCATATGTATCACCTTTTAACTCTAATTTCTTTGCCACCTAGCAATTTTTATGCTTCAAGTACTTTTTTACAGTTGTTTATTTTATATGATGATCGTTAAATGTTCGATCTCTACAATTGTATATGTTTCCAACTTATTACTTAAACTTTGGTTACATTGAAATTTGATAATTTGTGCTAGGAGAGAAAACATACTTGTATCATAAAACCTCAAGAGTCAAGATATAGATCGAGAAGGAAACCTCCCCTGATATGAGAATGAGGAGGGCATATCTCAATTGAATGTTTGTCGTTTGTTGAAAGGAAAACACCGTCATATGCTTTATGTTGCTTGTTCGATTCGGCTGGAGCTGAACCAGGTGAAGTCATCACATCACAAACTTCTCACTCGGTCAATTCGAAATGTTCAATACAGACCAATCTATAATTCAGTTCAGTCGGTATTGTTCAGTTGAAAATCAATCGAGTTCAATGGAGATTGATTTGTGATTCGAATTTGATTAGGTTAAGTTCGATTTTGATTGAATCGACTTGATGCCCATCCCCAATCTACTAACATAACTATGGAATGACAATAATCGTTATCACATACTGACATCACAATGCAAAATTAAAAAGCGACATAAACACCCACCACAATTTGAGTAGTTTGTATGAACTATGAAGTGACAATCATCATTATCTCATTCGGCCACTAAAATGACAACCATGAATTTTTTTTATTACTCAGGAACATTTCCACGCACACACCGCCTTTGTGATGGTGGAGCGGAACCAAATTTGAGGGTTCACCTGCTTGAGCCTTTCAGATTCTCCACAAAGATCTCCATTAAATTCTATCGAGAACACCTTAACGAGCCTCGATGGAAGTAGCACATGGATCTGCCACTTTCCGAAACGCGCACCCACTAAGGTTTACACTGGTAGATTATATGAACTTTTGACAACAACAATGAAAATTTTGAGACAATTATCACACACCATAGACAAACAATCAAACATCGAGCTAAATATGTGTGCTCTCCGGAATTGGGCGAAACTCAAACGAGGTTGCTCTTAAAATCATTAGCTTTGTTTCATTCTGTTCCCAATGTAACACATAAAAAGTTGTTTGTGTCATTGCATGTGGCCATGTCTTTTATGGGAGCAAGCTAGCATGCGGCCGTTTTCAAGGGCACAACGATGATAGTTAAAATAAGGCTGCTCATTTCCTTATTTCCAAGGTATTCCATTTCTCTGATTTTGTCACGTAAGTTCCGAGGAATCCCATATTCCTAATTATGCTGACATATATATAACTTATGGGAATTAAAATTTATTATCTTTTACTATATGAAAATTGTGATCAAATGAAAGATATTTTAGAATGGAAGACCAGAAAAATCGTGCATTCTGTTTGATTTGGTCTAGTCCAACTGTTAGTTCGATCTATTTTCCTTAAGTATTTATAACATTTATGGTCCCATGAGACAAGGACTAACCCACATTATATTGGTATGGTATTGTCTTGTCCCAGTATTGGTTTGGTCCGGTCAGGTCTAATACAAACCAAATTGTTGCACACTCCTACTTAGAGACTCGAGGTTGAGGAGAGGACAACAATTCGTTTTCACGCAAAATTGAAATTGCATCGTATTGATATTTCAATTTAATTGGATTGTAATTTGAATATAGTTTGATTTCGGTGTGAATCTATGAACAACCTTTAATATATAAAGGAAATATGGATCAAAATTACAATGGGAGAGGATCGAATTTTCTACATCAACAAATATATTTATAGCTGAATGAGGAAATTGCAACCCTCACATCGAATTTCGTGGGATTGTAGAAAAGTCCATTTACCATTATTTTTTTACAATAAAATTCCATTTAGTAATTGTACTCATTTGTTCACTGAAATGAAGAGAGTGCATTTAACCAACTAAACTACATCATATTTTTCTCTTATTAAACAAAACCATTACTTTAAAGCTAAATGAGAAAACTATAACACTCATTTCAAGTTTTGTGGCCTGCGAAAGATTCTAGGAATGTTCATTTAGTAATTGTACCCCGTTTGTTTACATATTAAAAGCACATTATGGAGGTTTGAACTCATGTCATTCAAATGAAGAAAAAATATTATAACCAACTAAACTACATTGTATTTGTCGTCATTTCAAATTTCGTGATCTGATGTGATTCTATGAAGCTCCATTTAGTTATCACACCCCATTTGTTTACATATCAAAAAGTGCATTAGTTAGATTTGAACCGAGTTCACTTAATTGAAGAAGAGCATTATAAGTTTATAACCAACTAGAATACAAAGTATTTGTTGCAATTTCTTTAATCAAACACTCGAGACATATTTGATATTTTATGCTTTATTGTATTTGAAATTAGTGATGTCTTATAGAATAAAATTAATCCTCAAATTGAAACTCAAGTCACTCTGATTTGATTATTAAATATTGAATTGTGCATGTAGTTTAGTCAAAATACACATGCATAACAAAAAAATCAACCTTTGTTACAAAAATTGTTTATTTTTTACTACAAATATATTCATTCCATCATGAAATATGTTAAACTTAACAACACCGACGTATCTATGCTGACAGTATTAACAAAATACCCTGACATTGTATTTTTGTTTTAACTTGACAACTTGAATTTTTTTATATTTTATCCTAATCAACTTAAATAAAAAAGAAAAGACGAAAAGAAGGAAAAATATTCATTAACAAAAAAGAAAAATTAAGCGGGGCAAATGAATGGTTACGTGGCCTCTCCTTCCAACCCCTTTTCTGACTTTCTTTTCCGCTTCTTCTCCATCTCCCATCATCAATCAAAATTCAAACCAATGTTGGCTCTCATCTAGTAGCACAATGGATTTCAATAAAACATATGATGGAGTTCATTCATTTGAGTAATGACAATGCAGAATAACTTGCTCCAACAGACGGCGAAATTGACGACAACAAAATTAAAAATATGAAACAAATTGTACAAGCACCATTCAATACATATTAGCTCCTTCCTAAATGATGCATAAACACCCTTTGCAAGGATTTTTGTATCTCAAATTCATTCGCTTTTAGAGGTTGAGATCCGTACCCTGTGTTATTTCATACGAGAATAGATGTGAGAATCTCAGTACAACTTCGAGCTAATTGAAGGAAGTGATAGAGAGAGATGAAGGCCGTAACAGAGAAGTAGCATATGAACCCCGTGTTATTTCATCCGACCAATGGGTCGGGTAAAAGCTAGCAGGATCAAACAAACTAAATGCAATTTCCGATCATGTTCATAATTTTTATTCTATTTTGACTTGATTCTATTCTATCAATGATCCATATTCAAATTGAAATCAATTTGAACCATGTTACTAAGAGTTGCGAAGGAGGCAAATTGAGCTGAGTTTTGACCTAACTCAGGCTTTATCCGTTATAAAACGAGTTGAAGTCAATCTCATCTCAGAATCGGCTCATTAATGAGATCACAAATTCCACTCGAGGTTGGCCCATCATTCAGTTCACGAGTTTGCTTCAAGCTCGACTCATTGATGAATTTATATGGTGGAATTTTCTAACCAAATTCTAAAATAATTTATAGATTACATACCCTCTAGATTTTGTATGCCATATATATTACATATGACTAATATCACGAAGAAAAAAGGACAATAGTCAGTTTCTTCATTAACTGGTCTCATGTTTATGTGTTATGTTGTTCTTAAACCATAATATGCTTTGAAATACATAATTTAACAACTCTATGAGCTATTACTAAGTCAGCTGATAACTATACGTAGATATGATATTAAGTCGATAACTAATCAAGCTGACTCACTAGACACATTATCGAGTCACTCGTGAGCTTGAAATGAATAAAGCTCAACTAGTCAAGTTAGCTCGCAAGCACCAAGAACTGAACAAGACTTAACAAAAACTTAACTTGTCTATTCTTACTTGCTGTTTCATTATGAACAACTTGGTACGTGGAGAACCAAATTTGGCTAAAATTTTATAGAAAGATTTTTTTTACACCACGTTATAGAAAGATTGAAGACACCACTTTTCACTTTTTGAAGATTGTTGGCATTTCATACGCTATTCTTTCTTTCCTTCCCCTCTGGCTGCCTGCCTACTACCAACTGTTTTGACTTCATCAATAGATCACTTAAAACCATTCTAAATCTCTCCTACCCGGAATTAAACACGTTCATGTCCTTCCCCCTTGGATTAAAAAATATGCCAACCAAACATTAACTATGCATTTTCATAAATTTAAGAAGATGTGGAACTAAGCTTTGGAGATGATAATATCATGAATCAAAATGAAACTATACCAACTACTTTGGTAACAAGAACAGTGATAATTCGAGTACAATTCAGATAAAGAATAATTTCCTTTAGTCAATGGTGGAGCCACATTGGAGGACCTAACTCAGAAAATGAAAATTTTGAAAATTGACTGGATTATTTGTTTCATAATTTAGTATTTTGGATTTCGAACCCCATATAATTTTATATATACTCACCTGAATTTTTTTTTATGGACAATCTCAACTCGATTCTTGTATATTTTAGATCTGAAATATAATGAATGTTACAACTTATTCGTATGATTCATGTACAACTAAACTTTGATTAATCAATTGCAACTACTCATGTTTGAAAAAAATACAAAGTTAACTTAAACGTAGTTATTGTGTGCTCATAAGAGCAACTTGATTTGCTTTTGGACCTTACCTCGACGAATTTTTTGCTACAATTTTAATCCAATCCACCTAGCTACATTATATAAACATAAACAGGGTTTCTAGCCTAATTGATATCCTAATTCTCAATAGTAAGCCAACCTCAATGTACTATGTTATAATCTCAAAAAGACTTCCTAGTGGGCTACTACTATCGACTGATTTTCCCAATCTTCTTTACTTTGTAGTAATCTTTAAAAAAAATTCAATCATGTCCAACTCCATTCTGTTGGTAATGACAATGGGTCGACTTATTGAGTAATTTGACTTAATTATCATTATCATATGTGCATTGGGTCACTGACATGCGCACTCTTAATGATTTTGAGCTTGAGTTGCAGTGGTTGAGCCATGAATCCGAATGAGTGGGGGGAGGGCTGACTTGAAGCGTGATAATTGGGAGGGGGCTAACGTCTTACTTACTAGTCTATTTCTTAAATTTATTACAAATTTTACAAGTAAATTTACTTATATTTTCAATTTCAAGAGGTGCTATAGCTCCTCCTGGCTCCAACCTAGCTCCTCCACTAAGTTGGATTTGAATAGAGTCCAATTTTGGTCTCACTCAAAATTGATCCATTTGTATCCAAATAATTGTAAAAAAAAAAAAACTATATTGACAAGAACCACAATAAAACTGAATATAATTTTTTTCTTATCAATATAATGAATCTAATTTAGACCCAAACTTAAATAAAAGCATGCTATAACTCTCTCAAAATTTGTGGATATTCTTTTATCATCCCTAATTCCCACCTCATTATTAGTCAAACTCCTAGGCTGAGGTAGAATCTTTCAAGCATGCTATAACTCTCTCAAAATTTGTGGATATTCTTTCAAGCAAACAAAACAACCATACTCAAAAGCCTAGCCCATAGACATGTTACCAAAAACCATTTGCCATCCACACCTACCCCAAAACCCTCTTTCCATTTCCACCATCTCCTCCCTTATATATAAACTTCCCTCCATTTTCCCCTACCAAAACTCAATACAAACTCTCACCTTCCACTTCTCAAAAACAACATGAAGAAATCCACCAAACCAATCCTCCTCCTCCTCCTCCTCCTTCTACTCCCCATAGCAATCCTCTTCCTTCCCACCATTCCTTCCCTTCTCCTCACCATCCCTCTCATCACCACCACAATCTTGATCTTCCACCACAATTCCAACAACAACAACAAAAACCTCCCTCCCGGCCCTCCATCCATCCCAATCTTCGGCAACTGGCTCCACCTCGGCAACGACATCAACCACCGCCTCCTCGCCTCCCTCTCCCTCACCCACGGCCCCGTCTTCCTCCTCAAGCTCGGCTCCAAGAACCTCGTCGCCGTCTCGGACCCGAAACTCGCCCACCAGGTCCTCCACGCCCAAGGGGTCGAGTTCGGGTCCCGACCCCGCAACGTGGTGTTCGACATCTTCACGGGGAACGGCCAGGACATGGTGTTCACCGTCTACGGCGACCACTGGCGGAAGATGCGGCGGATCATGACCCTGCCCTTCTTCACCAACAGGGTCGTGCAGAGCTACAGCGGGATGTGGGAGGAGGAGATGGATTCCGTGGTCCGCGATTTGGGGAAGCAGGGAGGAGAAGGGATTGTGGTGAGGAGGAGGCTGCAGCTGATGCTGTATAACATAATGTACAGGATGATGTTTGGTGTTGGGTTCGAGTCGGTGGATGATCCTCTGTTCGTGGAGGCGACGAGGTTTAATTCGGAGAGGAGTCGGCTGGCGCAGAGCTTCGAGTATAACTATGGCGATTTCATTCCCCTGTTGCGGCCGTTCTTGAGGGGGTATTTGAATAAGTGCAGGGATTTGCAGCGGCGGCGGCTGGCTTTCTTCAACAACCACTACGTGGAACAGAGAAGGTAAAGTAGCTAACTTTACATTTTGATTCAATAACCAAACTCCTGAATTAGGAAATTTTCCCTAAGCTAACCAACTAACTATGTTATTCTGTTCCGTTAACAGGAAAATAATGGCGGGAAATAACGGGGAGAAAACCCACAAACTCACCTGCGCCATGGACCACATAATCGACGCGGAGAGGAAGGGCGAGATCAGCGAAGCCAACGTGCTCTACATCGTGGAGAACATCAACGTCGCCGCCATCGAAACCACCCTCTGGTCCATGGAGTGGGCGATCGCCGAGCTAGTGAACCACCCACAGGTCCAGCACAAAATCCGGCAAGAAATCTCCGGCGTCCTCAACGGCAACCCGGTAACCGAATCCAGCCTCCGGGACCTCCCGTACCTGCAAGCAGTGGTGAAGGAGACGCTCCGGCTGCACACTCCGATCCCACTTCTGGTCCCGCACATGAACCTCGAGGAGGCCCAGCTCGGTGGCTACACGATTCCCAAGGAGTCGAAGGTGGTGGTGAACGCGTGGTGGCTGGCCAACAACCCGGCGTGGTGGAAGAAACCGGAGGAGTTTCGGCCGGAGAGGTTCTTGGAGGAGGAAGGGGAGACGGATGCAGCGGTGGCTGGAGGCAGAGTGGATTTCCGGTTCGTGCCGTTTGGGATGGGGAGGAGGAGCTGCCCTGGGATCATACTGGCAATGCCGATCCTGGGGATGGTGATCGGGAAGCTGGTGAGTGAGTTCGAGATGAAGGCTCCGCCGGGAGTAGAGAAGATTGATGTGACTGAGAAAGGAGGGCAGTTCAGTCTGCACATTGCCAAACATTCGACGGTTGTTTTCGATCCGATCGAGGTTTGAATGTGTCGTCTGGAGAAGGAAACCTTGAACAGATTTGGATCAAGAGTCGTTGCTTTATGCTTTCTAGTTTCTTGTTTGTTTTTTTTTTTCTCGTCCCAGTAAAAGTGTCCCAAGTACTTACAACATACAGAGAATGGTAGTAAACTTCACATGGAAATCCCTATGTTGCTTTCCCTTTCGATCTTTGTCGAGTAAAGTGTGTCGCCTGCAAAACAACGATTAGCGGCTTACAGATACAGAGAGTTCGCAAACATGATCCCGCGTTGAAGGCTTTTACAAGCTGCTTCGAATTTCTCCTCCAAGCTGGTTTCTCCCACGGCCTGAGCAGCTGCACGTAACTGGATTGTCGAGTAGCAAAGCGAACAAATAAGAAACTCGGCCAAAGTTGATGACGACGTAAATCTAGAATTAAAGCAGTGTTAAGAAAATATATGGTCGTGGTTTTACCTGGTTCAAGAATTCGTCCAATCGCCTGGCGCTCCTAATGATACTGCCCTCGAAGATATCAGTCATCTGTATAACTTCTGCAAAACTAGCACCCTGAAAGAGAGACAAAAATAACATTGAGAGAAAAGGAGACCAATTACCATAATTTTGCTGGACAATCAGGGGATAACACAAAGGTAAGAAAGCGTGAAAATGGAGAATTACCTTCGACCAACAGTAAATCACGTCCATCAAGAATGGCCGCACAGTTGACTCAACGTACTCTTCAACATTTATTTCCAATTTGCACTCATATTGTATCTGCAATCATGTTGTGATCCCTTATGTCATCTTAGTCTTGGTCTGGTAAAGCTGAACACTATTACGAGAGGTATATAAGAGCGAAAAAAAGAAATTTGCTGAAGATGAAACCTCGGCTATTTTTCTTGCGCTTTCTTGGAGCTGCTGTAATGGTTTAGCAAGCTCGGTTCTCAAGTGTATTTGCTCGTTTGATTTGTCCACTGGAATGAAACAACTTGCTAGAGCTGCAACTTGGTGATGATCAAGGTCATTGAAGGTACCTGACAAATAAAGAAACAAATCTTATATCCACATGCAACTTTTCTAGATTATAGTTTACGGAGCTCGCTGACAAGAATGATAGTCATAGGTTTCATGACCAATCTGATGGGCAAAAATCTCAGAGAGCTCATCGCCCAATCAACCGCAACATAGTACATGCATAAAACATCATCACTGAGTGTCAGTTGAAGCCGTTTCTAACTAACTATATACTGTTAGTGTCTTTAAATTAGCGAAGCAAATCTTTCTGAGATCATAAGCTAGACGCTTCAGTTAGCAAACCTATATTTGCACTTAACGTAGAACCAAAAAATTGTGCACAATTTCAGCCATATGCAAAAGCTTCACATGATACAACATTTTCTAGGGAAAAGCTGTACATCCACTTTTATGTTGGTGAAAAGCTGTACACACAGGATGGAAACACAGAGGACTTGCTAGGAGGGAGCAGTAATTAGGTTACCGTTAAACATCAGTTCAGTTACAAGAAGTTCATCTCCTGTGTCTATCAAACAGGCTGCTCGACCCTTTAGCTGTACGACACTGTCACCGTCTATATGACCAAGTCTTTTCAAGACTCGTGAACGGTTCTTGAGTTCATCACGAAATTTTTGCAGCTGCAATTATCAAGGATGAAATTTTAGTAGCAGAGATGAGAACACAGAATAAAATTGACTACCATAGACCTAAGGTAAAAGGAACCTTAAAGAGGGAGGGAAAATATAAGAATAAGAACAAAATAAATTGTGGTGATTGTTGCACCAGCAAGGACTCTTATGGAGGCTCCAAAAACAAGAGAGCAATGGTGTCTCAATAAAATGCATAGGGTACTGGGAGAACAAGAACTAAGTCCAGAGTGGATAGAGATCAAATGAGCAATAGTGATATCTATGCTGCAACATAAGATATTATCACAGATAGAACTTCTCCACCATACTTGTTCAGCCTCAAAGACCATATCATACAAAACACAGATGAAAGTTGCTACTTCTATAAGAGGCTCAACAAAACTTTTCCAATTTTGGTCTGAATATATAGAAATAAGAGGTGGACACTGAAACAACCTCAATCAAACTGGCTCTTCTGCAAGAGACTTGGATCATATTTCTTAATTTCAATCACAGGGATGACCTTCAATAGGAAACACAGATTCTACATGTTCACTCTGCAAGCACCAAGGTAAATACCTGTGAGTCTCGCATTTTTAACTTGAGTTGTTGAATCTCATGATCCACCTCAGCCTTCCTTTGGAAACTTTTAATCTGATTCACATCTTGCGACTGAAAGCAAGATATCACATGACTAACCCAGTGAGACAACTTTTTCATCCATGCACTATCATAACAAAGGCACGAATTTGATCCACAGGGCAAGATTACCTTATGCATAGGATGTGCATGTAACTTCCTTTCCAGTTCTTCTATTTGCTTGACCAAATCAACAATTTCGGGATCTTCAATTTTCATATCCTGGAAGTACATTCGATGAAAGAACCCTTAGAATGGCAGTGGTAATTAACAACCACAAAAATGCAGGTAACCTCAAGAGAAAACTTCATAATTTCTACTATTAGAAAGATCGAATGTCAGCCACTTCTACATAATTTATACAGGGAAAATTTAAAAATGCTCGTCTGAAAGGACTAAAGACAATGACTCGGGGGTGTGAATAAATCTTGTAAAGCTAAAAATGATGGTCTTTCCATCTCTCTAGTGACTACTCTTTTGTACTGCTACTTATTCTTTAACGAGAAACCTTAACATACATCTTTAATCTTTAGTGGCGAGGCATACCAACATATACATATGATGATTGCAGAACTAGGTCCAAACCAATATGATATTTTTAGAGCAGTTACATATTACTAACACTATTTCTTTCTGTTGCATCCTTATAGATAAGATGCACTTTCTAACATTCAACTCACAGTCCAGCAGTTACCTTTACTGGATTAAGTTTTGGAAGACCTTCAGGAAATCGAGATCCTAGTTCTTCGAGTGCTATAAGTATACTTTGCCTTGCTTCCAATGGTCGGAGATCAGACGGAATGGTAATTCTCACTTTACTGAGAGCAGAAACCAGGGGCAGCTCAACAGGGACCTGAAGTAAGTACAGACTTGAGTCAGGATTGCGCCAACTCATGTCAGATCTTTAAGAGTTACAGTGCAAGAAGAGAAAAACTAGAAGAAATCTAAGAGAAGTGCTAAAAAAATTATGGGACGCATAGGCTGATATATCATATACTATAGAGCAACAATAATACATGGCTTGGAAGGTGAAAGAGTTTACATCCAACTTCAAAACTTACCACATGCATCTCTCCCTTCTCTCCAGGCCGAGGAGGACAAGGTTTGGGCCTTGAGCCACCCTCACTTGATCCAGGTGTGCAGTGAAGTAAAGTATCCACTATGTAGCCACTACCACGAGAGGGTAGTGCACCCATCCCTGAAGAGGGTTTCTTCACAACATTTACTACAACCCCCCAGCCCCAGTCAGTTCCACCTTCTCTGATTCTGACCTGCAGAAAAGACAAACACACGTGAGAAGGATGTCGTTAATAATATACATGGTATCTGGTGAACACGACACACATACTACCGAACAACAGACTAGAATATGAGTAATTTTCAAAAGGGCTGTAGAAAAGACAAACACACGCGAGGAGGATGTCGTTAATAATCTACATGGTAGCTTGTGAACACGACACACATACTACCGAACGACAGACTAGAATATGAATAATTTCCAAAAGGGCTGTTAACACAGACATAATACGGCTATCCTATAGACAAAAAATTCAAAACAGAATCAAGGTGACATTTTGAAATGAGACAGACACCTAGTATTAATAGCAAAAATGATAAACCTCAAAGACGACGACTTCCAAATAATATAGATTCAGAAATCAGCCCTGTAGCTTCGTTCCAACACCAGTTCTATGCTTATGTCCAGAACGTACCAGTCTGCCAGGGCATAAATAATAAAGTACTCTTTCAGGCCTTGTGATTTCAGTCATCATCTTTTTCTCAAGTTGCACGATCTCTAGCTTCAGCTTATGATATTCAGCAACTTTGCCCTAGCCAAAGTATCAGAAAGCTTTCCAAAGTTAGTAGTGCATGAAACCAAGTGGTAACAGGAGAGGAAATGTAAACATGTGGAACATATTCGTTACATCTCCGGATGAAGCCAAGTTAGCAGCTTCTTGTTCAAGTTTTGAAACCTTGTTGCCGATATCAGGTAAAGCCTGAAAGGGGGAGCAATCAACAGTTTTAGTCACCAGACTAACTAATCACTTGTACAAAGAGAAAGGGGCAAAACCAAACCTTTTCATATTGAAATTGGTGGAATGAATTCCTAATCACATGCTCGGCAGTGAACTGGCCTTCCGCACGGCTCATTAAGTTTAAAATGGAATAATAACTCAGCCTAAAAGTACTAACTAGAGGAGCTGGTTTACCCAGAACCATGTCCTTGAGAGTCTCCATCTCCATCTGCAATAGTTGCACAGGATTAGTAAATTGAGCAAGACAGTGACTTGTCATCTTTCCTTCCCCAAAAGGGTAACCATAAAACAACTGTTGCTTAAACTTAATTTCACAAGTATTGCTGCATTCCAAGTTAACGTTGACTAGGTTTAAAATATCCAGCATCCAACTTTATGCTTACCTGTTCGTCAATCATTATGATACAAATACCCCGGTCATCTTTGCCACGCCGTCCAGCTCTTCCACTCATCTAAATTGACAACAATGATATCGTATAATGGTTAGAACACTGGCTCACTCAAACACTTATGTATGAGCATTGCCCTTGAAGTATCACTGCTCACCTGGATATATTCACCAGATCCTATGTGACGATGACTATCACCATCAAACTTCTTAACAGCAGTAAAAACAACGGTCTTGGCAGGCATGTTTAAACCCATTGCAAACTGTCAAAAAGAAGAAAAAGAATGTTGCTTAATCAGTTATTCAACACCTGCACTCAATTAGCATTTACCTAGTTTGCCCCTCGAGCAGAGGAGTAAAAAGGAGACCACAACAATAGAAGCCTCTTGACCAGCAAAAGGAGGATTACAGGGTAAAAAACAGAAGCAAATCCGAAAAGCTCCTAAACGACATGATTGATCTCGGCTCATAATTCAAATGCCATGTATTTAGCTATTGAGCTTCAAAGTTTCGAGGAAGTAAACTTACTGTTTCTGTAGCAAATAATGCCTTCACAAGGCCTTCTTGGAAAAGAAGCTCAACCAATTCCTTAATGACAGGAAGCAGGCCAGAATGATGTACAGCGATACCTCGCTGAAGTAGTGGCAACATCAATTCAATGGCAGGTAAACTTCTATCTTCTTCGTTCAGGCATTGTATTGCATTATTGAAGACTTGGTCCACCATTTCCTTCTCCTCCGGTGTATTAAAGTCCAACTTAGACATGGACATTGCATGTTGTTCACACTCTCTTCGACTAAAGCTAAAAACGATAACAGGTTGAAACTTCCGCTCCATAATCATCTGAAACAAAATTGACGTATCTAAGGTAAGGGCAGGGGGTAACTAAATTCAATCTTGGAAACAAGTCACAAACTTGGCCAGCTTAAAAAGATACTAATTTGTCGAATACAATTTAGTAGGCCATGCAGTTCTCAGTAAAGGGCTACCGACGTAAACAATTTGAAGTAAAAATACCAAATTTGAAGCTGGGGAAATGACAGTAAGAATATGTGGATGCTATTTTACAGAGATGAATTAAGAATAAGGGTCAATAATGAGCATATACTAATGTTCCATTGCAATCTACGATTGCCATTTCTGTACGATTTGCAGGAAACTTTTGGAGGGAGAGGTAGAGCACGAACACAACCATTACAATGTATTTCCTTCCTTACAGTCTGCTTTTTTTATGAATCAAATAAGTACCAATCTCGTCAACTCCCAAAAGCTTTTACTTGTTTACGTTATGCGGAGCAGACAGAAAAATGTATCCAAAAAGCTCTTCCTTTTAACAGAGGGCATAGTGAAGGCAATATGCCATCTAAAAATAACAATTTGAAGCCTGCATACCATATATCAAGTTTACCTGGCACTTATATTGAAAAGTGAACAGACACTTGTAAATTGTAATGCCTTACAAGTCCATCTAAAACTCACTGAATAACACAATAATAGAAGAACTTTAACAGAAGACAAACCAAAGAACAATGTTAATGAAATAGCTAAGCTACAGACCTTTACAATTTTGTATATGTCTGAACCTCCAGAAGCATTGCCAGGTTTTGCTATCCTACCGCCTGCTTTACCATTAGCACTCTTGTTCCCATCACCAGTTTTCTGTTTTGAGAAGGAATTCTGCAGCTTCATAAAATTCTCCTCTCTGAACTGTTCATTCTCATCCACAACAAGGTATAGGCCAGATCCACCAACAGGGAAGACGTAATGCTGCAAAGGAGTTGGCCGAAAATCAGTGTACACCACATGACAAGGCTGCTTGTGCACACGGCAAATCCACTCTGCGAACTCTGTAGCATTCGACATTGTGGCAGAAAGGAAAACCATTTTAATCTCTGGTGGCAAAAAGATGATACTCTCCTCCCAAACAACCCCTCTCTCACGATCTTTCATGTAATGGATTTCATCAAAGATAACCCATGCAACTTCCTTCAAAATCTGTGATCCCCGGTAAAGCATTCCCCTAAGAATCTCCGTTGTCATCACCAAAACACTAGCATTGGGTGAGAGCGTCACATCACCGGTCATCAAACCAACATCTTCAAACTCATGCTGCAGCTCCCTATACTTTTGGTTGCTCAAAGCTTTTAGCGGGGAAGTATATATAACCCTCTGCTTATCTCTAAATGCCATTGCAATAGCATACTCAGCCACTGCTGTCTTCCCAGCAGAAGTATGCGCAGAGACGAGTACAGACTCCTTTCTCTCCAAACAGGCAACCGATACCTTCTGAAACGGATCGAGCACAAACTCGTAGGTTTTGGCCATCTCACCGTTGTAAACTGGATTCGACAGAGTTCCGTGAGTAATTCCATCTTTAGGCAAAGTATAATCACTAGGCACTGCAACCTCATGCACGCAACTTCGAGTCACACTTTGACGCTTCTGAGCGGAACCCTGCCGAGGGGTATCCGCAACTTCGCTTTCCTCAGGTGCCTTCCGCTTCCCGGAAGGGGTTACTGACTGCTCCTCCATCACTGCTCGACTAAACAAAGCTCAAACACCACTACCCGAGTTGCCCTGACTAAATTCGTCCTGAAAATACAGACTTGCTCCAACTTCAACTCGCCCCTAATTGAATTCAACCCAAAAAGGCATAGTGAAAATTCAAAACTCAACGGTAAGGAGATGAAAAGGGAACATGAACAAAACCAAATCCCCAAGCTTCGGCGACAAATTGAACTTCTCGTTAACTGATATTACATCAAATGCTAACCAAATGCGGATGCAGAAATGTCTACCTAACCTAAGAGGCCGGCGGGGAGCAGCGTTCTTCACAGCTTGATGCCGGGGTAGGGATAGGGAGAGAGAAGAGTGAAGTACCGGATTCGCTCAACAAAGGTTTGCAGGCAGGAGGAGGAAAGAGTAGGCAAAGAGAGCTTGCTCGCCTCGCTTCGGTTTTCCGAGGAAACAAACGGCAACCAGAAAAGGAAAACTACAGAGCCAAAAAAATTGTAAAAATTGTAAGGCTTACCAAAGCACAAACAGGCGCGGAAACAAGTTCGGCAGATGGACCTTCGTAAAAATGCCCTAGCCCAAGCTCGGAGAGGCCGGAGATCTTCTCTGTGTTTTATTTTTTAGCCTGCAAAGGGCCCAATTACGTCGCCGCTACCACAAAATACACAGACCTTTGTAGGTCGAATTATGAAAAAGAATTATGAAAAAGGCCATGGTCGACTAACTAACAATTCAAGGACAAAATACTTTTTTTTTCATTTTTACCACTTAACCATTTCATATTCTAAAATTATGTTATCACTAATCAACCTCTCTTTAATAAAAGCTTATTGATTAGTACTAATAAGTAATAACATAGGCATCACTTCTATTTGAGCTACAACTAGCAATTTGATTGTGCTAACTTCAACCTTTCATGAATGCCTGAGCAATGAGTCTTGTTTAACTTTCTCAATCTCATCTTAATTTGCTTCAGTTTCTAGCATAAACAAATAATACATTGTTGAGCCTTCTAATGCATGTTGCCACTTGCCAACCCTATGTCACTAGTCTATCATAGTTAGGATGAAGTCTCCCAAAATTGAAGTACATGAAGGGCATGAGAAGTGTCATAATTGCTGAGTATGTGTGAATAAGGATTCCATAATGATCTAATAGACTTGGTGGCAGAATTCAGACTCTACCGTTTCGGAAAATTTCAATTCATAAGCTATTAACCAAAGATCGATCCAACCTTTTTACTATTGAATTCCTCTCTTACTTTTCTTGTCAATGCAAAATATGGACCTACTATCGTATGATCCTCCGGCTGCATTTCATTTATCCATTGCAGACATTATGTGTACTCTCACCCAGTTCCACCGAGTTGGAAGCCTTAGTAACTTTTGTTATTGGATTAAAATTCCATGCCACTAAGCATGGTTTGATTTTGTCTATCTTTGACTTCAACTTATGATACATTCTTTATATGTGGGCCACTTCATTGGAGCCATACACAAAGGTTAGTTGTGCTTCCTTTCACACTTCAACGCAAGTATGGTTCGTTGTTTTCTGTAACTATAAAATTCAAATCCTTTCTCCATAACACCCAAATACTCCCCACTTGTGTTGTGGGTTATGTGTCACAAAACTTCCTTTCTGAGAAGTGATCTTCTAGACAACCTAATTACTAGAAGTGGCAAATGGATTGGATCCATGGAAGAAGTGGATTGGATTGGTATTTTTATGGATTTGTGTATTAATCAATGAATCCAAATGACATCCAAGTCTTGGACCAAAATATAAACTTTAAAAAGTTTAGGTACTAAAATTTCATACGAAAAAATTTTAGACAACAAAATACAATTTTCCAATGATATTTTTTGTATAAAAAAATAAATTTTTAGGTACCAAAATATAAAATATAAAAAGTATAAATACTAAATTGTAATTTGTCATTTAAATTCATGGATCAATACATAAATCCACCAATCCAATTGGATTTGGATACTCTACATCTCATTGTTCAAGTGCCAGGGACCAACAAAATCCTAATTTGACCATCTCTACTCTTACTCCATAGCTGGTTGGCCCAAGCTTGCACCTGGCAGATATGAGGTGTAGAAAATCGAAGAGATGAACAAACACACGACTGGAAATTTCACACAGCATTTAGCAAACAGCCGCTAGACGACATTATTTCTTCCGATCACTATCGTGCATCATATACATGTGAGTGCAAAATGGCGGAATAACTGAAACCAAAGGACAGGTTAAGCAGCAAAAAAAAACCTGACAAGGTGACCTGCAGTTAGCAACTCAGCTCAGATGAACACTCGCAGATTAGTACACAAAAACCGCCGCAACAAATTGATGTTACAAGGCGACTGAATTCCAGACACCAGAGTCAAAATCGTATGTATCTTATCATTTCTTATCCACCCCCCTACAGCTTTTGACAGAGTATCAAAAATCGAATCAGCACCTCCCCTTGCTGACTGGTTTCAGTCTTCTTCCTCGTCCGCTTCCCTCAACCACTGCACCAGAAATGCATCAGATAAACGCATTAGTGTATAATCTCCAAATTTCAGCCAAACGGTAACATTGCATAATGTGGGTTCAATGAGTTCCGTTGTTTACTTGAATGAACTTCTCTGATTGTTTCACGAAAACCCTGTCAGATTCATCTGCATCTTTTCGCTCGTCGTCCCACCTCAAAATGGCCTCCTCTCCTATGATCTCTCTTTCATATAGAAGATACAAAATCTAGAAGGAAAGAAAGATTTGAGGCACTATTGTTGTAGATTGGAAATAAGAAGAGACAGCGAGCTTCAATGCTGATGTTATTTGAGAATGCTGGGTTACCTGGGAGAAAATTGGAGCAAACTCCTTGGTAGACTCGAGACACATTTCTTCAAATTTCATTATCAGTTCAATCTATACCAGGGGGGAAAATAGAGCATCCGTTCAAGTAGAGGGATTGCATAACTATCAACATTTTAGAAAAGTGAACAAGGGCTTGCAAAAATTATTGGATAACCTTTGTTCACCAAGACCGCCTTGAGGCAGCCAGATGGAAAATCCATAAACACAAGTTATTGCCCGTTAATTTTAATCGATGAGTAAGCTAAAAATTCAAAAGAAATATAATGATAAGCCGCAATAACCTGGTCATCTACTTCTTTAGCAAGAACCTCAAATAGTTTGTGCCACTTGCTCACAACACTAGCGACGTTCTTTTGCAATTCAACTGAGAACAATGGAAAAGCCATCAACCAACCCATATAGAAGCATTAAAATCATTCAATCATTTTTGAAGCACTTATGAGAACAGTGCAGGAACAAATGCCAGTAGCAGGGAGAATCCAAGATATTAGATACACGAGGACATACACCAAACTTCCGACATATACAATACACACACACAAGCCCACGCACGGATGGAGAACTTTAAAGACGAGTTCAAAAAGAGAGAGAATAAAGGAATACTGCACAAGTACAACCTGGAAAACTATGGACACCAAGGTTCGATAAATTTTACTACAGAAACGAGAAATATATATGTTGCCCAAACTATTACCAGCTGTGTTGTGCGGAGATTCCAAAGCCAGTTTCATCATTGGATAAAATAAGGCTCCGGTACAGTCCCCAGCAGACTTGTTGTATGATAACCTGATAAAATGTAATGCAAGTCTGCCTTCAGTATACATGTGGGATAAAGGTTAGAACATTAATCTCTCCGTGTTCAAAAATTTAGAAGCTTCAGTCTAGTGCTTGTTCAAGCATCTACTAAGGTAACACGAGAAGTTTCAACCTATTTATCAAAACTATAGCTCCTCTATCAGAGTAAAATGCTCATCAACATTCAACACCCACATGTAATACTATGTTGACTAAATGATGAATGTTTATACTTAGATGGGACATGGGAGACTTTGCGTGAATTGATATATGTTGAAAAGAGTTCAGAGAAAAACAGTCACTCGAGGATACAAAGCAAGCCATGGATTTGTTCACTAACTAGTCCTGTCAAGCATTAAAACTTACTCGTTCAATAAGAAAACAATATTAAGACATTAGTTCACATCTAGAGAGTAGACATACCGTAGTGAGTTCATTTCAAGGATCAAATCATCGACTGCAATATTGTCCTGGGCAGCCCTCAAAAAGGTTGCTTCAGCCTGAACACCACCATTAAAATAGTAGTTTATTCATCTATCTGCAAATTTTATCATCAAGCAACCCAATTACACACCTCTTTCTCAAAATCAACAGTGTCAACATTGGAGTCATCCATGTTATCAGAGTCATCGTCGTCAGACCCAGGTTCCAGCTCTCCAGAAGGTGTAAGAGCACTGTCGCTAACTTTTACGATCTCCGAATCCTCCTCTATGGCTAACAATGCCTTGGCAAGCTGATCTGTAGGAATGGGTGCAACAGAGTGCCTCCACTCTTCCTCACAACCTCCATCACAAGCTGACCAAATAAAACCAGCACCACCAGGTCCAAGCTGCTCAGCCAATAGAAAGGAATTAATTAAATGCATGTAACTTCCTTGATAAATTAAGACCACAAGTTTGTGCAGTGCTGATATGTGTCATGGCATATTGGCATGACAAGACCTACAAAGCTCAACCATGAAATAAATAACAAAAAATACAAAGCTTAAGATATGCAAGGACAGAAACAGTACTAAGATATCTGGTCCCAGTTGATGACATTGTTTACTGATAGAATCGTCTGTTTTGGGATCTATAGGTATATTCTCTGTGTAGGACTAGATCGGAAAAAGCAGAACATACATATAACAGGCAGAGTTCTGGCAGCAACAGATTCTATAATGTCTAGTTCGATCCAAATGTTGAATTGCATAATCCAATAACAAAAAAAAGTTCATGCAGAACAATCAATCTTGCAAGGAAATCAACACCGCAAACACACATGACAGCAAACCTGCGAAGTAGACCAATCTTGTATTTGAGATGATTCAGATACTATATCCCCATTCAACTTGTTACCAGCATCTGCAATGGCTAACACATAGAAATTCCCGGACAAATAATTGCACTGTCAGCCTCTTGTTGGTAAAATACCAAAACTATACAATTCATTATTCATCTCATCTCTACCAATTTCCAGTGCATCAAGGAGAAAAGAAAATAGTTCAACTCACAGGCTGAGGTTAGACAGGATCAGAACTCACATGGATCGATTGCTCCACTGCTGCTATCAGCATACTCCAACTCTTCATCACTATCCTGAGCAGTTGGCTGCTGAAACAGAGACACTTTCGAGTAGGCAGGAACAACAAATTCTCTTCCAATTACAACCTACAAGCAACAAGGCCAAAATTATGTTTCAGCCACAAGTATCCAATAATCAACACAGATATCGAAAAAAGAACAGAACTTGGCAAATTTCAAGCTGGACATAGTTCTACCTCAAACCACTTTATTCCAACAGGAGATACAAAAGGTTCAAGCTAGACATATACTGGAAGTCAATCACATTAGCAAGGAAATAATGAAGTCAACAGGGAGTTAGTCTATATAACCTTGAAGGACAATACAACCCCGGGTTCCAAAGTCGCGGCCGCTTTTATAATCACACCGTCACATACTATTGCATGTCGCAACTCACAACCATCCTCAATGGTAACATTGTTCCATATGTATGAACCCACTATTGAAACATTAGATCCAATAGTACATCCTTCTCCAATAACAGAATGAGTAATTCTTGAATCATCCCCAATTCTGGTCCCTTTTCCAATAACAGTAAATGGCCCAATATGAGCTGACCGTGACTGTTGTATTTCTGGAGGAGAATGAGATACAAATAAATATACGACATGAAAGCTCATCACCACACATAAAGCAAGTAGGAAAAGCTCCCATAATGGACTCACTCTAATAACGATGCTAAACTGCATGCACGAATAAAGTGTTCAACTTCTATGAAGGCTATGAAGCATAGAATGCCGGGGAAGGAAGCCATATAAGCTGAATTACAAATACAGACACAACGAACAAGAATTCTACAGGCATTTTCTACAAATATCATTGACGATATGACACCATGCTCTTGGGTATCACCGTACGCATTTTGAGCACGAACAATTACCATTGACGAGACAGAATACACAGCCAAAATGTGGCACATCCTTCAGACACTAAACGCCTATATATATCATCATACAGATCTTTATACATTTCGTTCAATATGTGCTTTATGTGTCACACTCCCGAACTAGTCTCACCATGGATGACTAGACAAACTCATGAGTACAAAAGAAACCTCCACAACAGCAGAATGGCAGGAGGACTAATTAAATATAACCCTCAAAAACAGAAGTGATATGCAAAAACAATAGATGTCGAGTTTCAAGGTTGAAGGTTCACAAAATTTACTACCTGGTGCCTTGTACATCCCCTCTCTTTCAAGTTTAGTTGTGCAATTTGCAGAAAATCTCACATCTGGCACAAACGGGTATGTCCACCTCTGAATGATATCTTTACTGATTGTATCATAGCTTCTATAGTTATCAATCCTAGCCGCATAGCTAGAGTGAATTTCATGAGTAAATATTTTGTACCCCATTATCTGAAAGGTGAAAAGCAGAGAGTTCAGAAGACAATAAAGACTTAGAATAATGATAATCGCACAGCTAATCATAAGGCAGATTTCAATGTTGCCAATGTACTAGAGTTGAGTACAGCTAACTGTAAGATGAAACCAGTAGACACTACTTCGATTGCAAAATCTAACTCAGCAAAGTCTCACAATGGAATCCCTCTGCTGACGGCCAAAGATATAAAAAAAATTATATATAACCCCATTTGATCAGCAGATCACAGCACTAAGTTAGCCGCATATAAGTTTTACAAACATATGTTTGATCTATTTATTTGTGTATGAATCTTTTCACGTGAATTTTTGCACAAAAGTACCACATTATGATGCATCAACTATATTGCATTGAGAAAATAAATAAAGAACCGTCTACTTCGAGGAGTTCTAGAAGAAACATACATCATCAACCAGCAAGCCTTTCACAAAATGACGACGAAGATGTTGATAGTCAAAATTGTCCGTAAACAAACTCAGCACCTCTTGGGAGCATATATCTATATAGCAATCCTGCAATGGCAGTGGAAATAAATTTGTTGAAACATATTCAGAGAAGATCCCAACATCCACAAAAATAACCACTAAAAGAAACAAACAAAATTAAAAATAGAAATCCCATAGATTTGCATATAAAGAAAACTAAAGCGAAGCATGTAGAAGGAACTAGCCTGCTTATCATTATGAAGCGAGATAGAAGGATTATCAGCAAGTAACGAATTTTCAAGAGATATAGCTCCTCTCGGGTGCTCTCCTCTCTCCTCGTAGCAGAGAAGTTGCTTTGTATCAGGATCAATGGCCATAAACAGCTCATCAGTACCTAGACGCGACTGGTGGATGACTGGAGAAGGCTTTGATTTCTTGATGACCATGGTCATGACTGCGTTATTGTCCTTCTTTCTTCTCTCCTTGTGTTCTTTTACCGCGTGAGTCAGTGACATGTTGCTCACTGTATCCCCACTGACTAGGACAAAGTCCCCATGTATCTTCAGGAACAACGCAATATCCGATCAGAATCATACAGCAGCAACAAGTTCACAATTAACACTCTCATCCTAGAAAAAACAATGCCATACAAAAACGGATCAGAGAGAGCATTTAATTCTTTCTTCTGAATCCGGACAAGTACTAGCATTACACAACCACAAGCAATTCACAGAAAGTGTTCAAGCAGCAAGGCCAGCTCACCACATTGCGCTCGTATATCAACCTCAAAGCATCACCGGCGCTAATCGAATTGTTCGACTCGATCATGGCGACGGTGAAGTTAGGCTGCTTGTGCCATCCCGAGCTCTCCAAGTAATCCATGACCTGCCTCGAATGCGCACAGCAGAAAATGAAAACTTCCTCGACGCCAGCCGATTCCAGCCAAGCGAGCGTGTAGTCGATCATCGGAACGTTCACCAACGGCAAAAGCACCTTACAAGCCAAGCACGAAAGAGGATAGTAAGCAAGGACGTTACAGAAAGCGTAAGAGCAAGCAGCAGGAACTGTTACTGAGGAAACCGTACTTTAGGGCGCTCGAGGGTGATGGGACGGAACTTGGTGGTGAAGCTATCGGCCAAGAGAATGGCCTGAAGTGGATTCCGAGCCAGCTCCTCGGCGTCCTCCGTAACCCTGCTCGAGCCTTTCTTCTGCGCGCCCATTGCTACTGCTGCTTCGATTACAGGGACTAGCTTAGAGATTTGCTGAGGAGGGAAAGAAAGAACTGATGGGAGCGTAATCCGTAAACCCTATTTGACGGAGTGATCGGAATTTCATAAACCTTTTGATGCGAAGCGGAGAGATGTGCGAGAGATGACTCCCGGTGAAATGTTTGGGTGTGGTTCGGTTCCATTGTTTCCAGATTAACCGAAAGTTGGACCGTTATATCGGTCATGTACTCATGTTCCAGCCAGAATCATTTCTACCATGGTTCGGTTTGGTCTTTTAGTTTCTTATTGAGACTTGTGTCTTCGACATTACGATTCCAAACATTTTATCTTAAAATATCAATTAATCCATAAAATAGAATACAATGTAACCAAATCATTATTATCAGAATAGGATAAATCTATTAGGTAATAACTAACTAACATAATCTTGTTAATACGAGACGAAAAGTGAAAGAGTAAAGAGAGATTTGAGAGAAATTAATTACATTTTAATTTGGGTGACCGCTCAATTACATTTCTACTATTTATTTTCTTGAGTTATCCTCATTATCATTGATATGTTACAATTTTATGCTTATGTATTTTATACGTGCATAAATGCTTTTGATGGGGCGGGTATGGTATGGGTATGAGTATGAGGCGTGGGAGGTTAAAACCATACCCTCCCTATACACATCAGACGTTTTGCGCATTTTACCCAAACCCGTCGCATAACTAGTCAATGCAGGAATTTCTCGCGATGACTGGGTCGGGGGCGGTCAGGTACCCGCGGTCATGGGTTTGATTGTCGTCCCTAATCTTCGTCTGTGAAATTTGCGATTTTCATTCCTGCGTTTTTTTGTACGTTTTAGGCATTGTTTTTATAACTGGAGCGGGAGCTGAACCAAAAAATTTAGTGGTTTTTGGTTCAACGATTAATTGTTATGCGATCATTGGTTAAATGTTAATAGAATCGTTCATGTGCTATAATATAAAGAAAGATATATATATTTATAATACACTATTTTAGGAGGAATGTATCACAAACCATAAACAATTTCAAATGTATAACATCCATCACCTAAAATTCTTACAAATCCTTGAAACAATCTCACAAAAAATAATAATTTTTTTATTAAATTTAACTTAATAATCATGGTGGTAATCCGTAGCGGACCATATAAAGTCGACAAAGAGGATTAGAAACAGAAAAAAAGAAGCATAAATAAAAGTAGTAATTAAAGTGGGATGGTCTTAGTTTATGTAAAATTATTTTGTTTCTTAATTTTTTATGGTTAAAATATGAACCATTGGACCAGTCAAACGAGAGTGGTTCATATTATTTTATGTCAAACTACTAAATACCGCTTGGTCCATCTCGAATCGTCAATTCAAATGAACTGAATCGTTATTGTAACTGGTTTGGTTGTTCTACTAGTCCAACTCTTGATTCGATTCGATTCTTATAACAATGGTTTGATGAGATCCACAAACACAAAAACCAAAAACACAATGATGCTTACAAATAGTATATGAATGATAATTCGATGTTTCGCGAGTGTGCAAAATATATGAAGATAGATTGCTATTTTGTTTACAAGTGTGTTCAGTCTCGTGACATTCTACCTCTCAAAGTTAGCAGTCACTTGCAACTTGCTGATATACCCACCAACAAACTTGGTGCTTAACGAGTTTATTTTTACTAGGGTGCTTCATGTTTTCATACTTTCGAATCTGAATGTTCGTAAGATTCATGATCCATCTTGTGAGGGAGTATTTAGCTTGTCACAAGCACATAAGGGAGCCCAAATTTCTAATGCATAAGCATGTCTGCTTCTCGTACCATCCATGCACAAGGAGTCTAATGTTCGACTTCGACAGAGGTTAGTATTTGTTGGAAGTGTTGTCGATCGTGAAACCACAAAATATTTAATTCACAGTTCAATTTGCTAAAATAATTTAGTTTTAAACTTACAATCTCTTTAAAATAGAAATTTATTCCCCAAATCATGCATGTTCCAAAATCCGATCAACCTAAAAAATTATTCTAAAATAAGAATCTACAACAACGAACCACATTATATGTAAGCGATATTCATGCTAAAATTCACAAAAGGAGTCAAAGATGAAGATTCACCAAAAAATTTAAGAATATTGCCACAACAGAAATTCTCTTTAGCGACGGAGAAATAGTCACGAAAACAGTATTATTCGCAGTAGTCACATAATCATATCGGCAATACTATTAGCGGACCAAATAATTTATTTGGCAACGAAGCAGTATGATTCGCCACCAAGAATCTATTTCCTCAAATTTATATTATCGGTGACCAAGAATCATATTAAGGCAACCAGTGTTCATTAATTACCATTTCATTGAAATGCCAAATTAATTGAAGACAAAGAGTTTGGTCCGGTTCTGGAATCATATATCACTATAACCAGCGAGAAACACAGTCGAGATGCATTACAAATGAATTCATTTCACTTTTAACGTAGGAACTCGGAAGAACAATAATACTGCACATTTGATACACTCAAATAGCTGGACACTAATATCATGGATGATTCCTCTTTCTCTACAATGGACAAAAGGGGTGAAAAATATCAGGACGTGAAGATACATACTAATCCCTTAACCGTAGCAAGAACCTTTCTATTACCACAAGCCATACCGCCCAAACTGGATTCCTCACTGACTGGGAAAAGCTACATTATTTATTATCTCCATGCTCTTAACTCTGCCTGGAACAAAAATTTCTTACAGTCGTTCGAGCTCGGAGCTCGAGCTAGCTCTGTCAGCGAAACGCCCAGTTGACCGGTGCAGCAGGGGGGTTGGCGTGTGACTATGGACCGAAAGAAGAAAGCTAGCCAAATATGAACAGAATGTTCCCTACTAAGGGTTCCAAGCATGCATGGAACAAGAATATTGTTAGCACTCGATGGAATGAGCATAAAAAAGACTACCCCCTTCACTGCTGTTTTCATCATGCGTTGCCATTGTCTGAGCTGCTGCAGGCTTGATTCGGAAGGACAGAGTTGCCAAAATCTCCATCCAAGCTCATCTGCTGCACTTCTTGTGGTGACAGAATCTTGATGCATCGGACACAGTTCACAAACTCTCTGCAAACACGAACGTAAACGACTTAGCACTAGAGATAGGTTCTTTGGGATCCTTGTACATGAAGAACAGCTTACTGAAATATTTGAAAATGATTCGAAAAGGAATGAGAAGGGACTTACTCCCAAGGATCATCCCCCACTAGCAGGACATCATTCTCATGATCCACATAAACAAGCTTCCATCCTACCCTCCCACGATCTTCCAACTGACCCTCTATCCCAAACCGACGTGCCAAATCGTGCTTGAGCTCGTCGTAATCTGAATAACGGGTTATATCAATTGACCTCCCCACAGCTCCTCGTTTATATACCTTCAGAACAATGACATGACAACCTTAGAAAGTGAGCAAGATAAAAGGAAGGTAGAAAAGTAGAAATTATAAAACCAAAATACAAAAAAGAACACAATATATTCTAAAACAACTACCTTAGTATAAGTCCTCATCCGCTGAAACTGGGGTTGAGGGGCCCAAGAGTTTCCGTTCAAGAAGCTGCTATCATTGATCGCGGAGTCAATTGAGTTGAAAGCCAAATCTGGAACTCCAAATGATTGAGACACTATAGATGATGAGAGTTCCGGCTGAGGATCTTTCGAGTTAGAAATTGCACAGTTAGCAAGCACACCCCCAGAAGCAGGGAGATTGTTTGAGAAATCTTTCTCCAGTCCTACCATGGACTTTGATAACAAATTATCAGAACTCACGTGCATGCCGCCCAGCTGGCCTTGCCTATCATCAATGCCGATCCCATATGGCACATTACTATTCCTGTGATCAGCCGGGGGAAGTTCTGCTCCATTGTAGCTTGCTTCTCCTCTCATCAGCATCGGCTGTGAATTATACGACGTTGTGTTGTTATTCTGCTGCAACTGCTGCACGTCGTTCTGAGACAGGCAGACTGAGGTTGAAGATGAAGTGTCTAAATAATCAGCCTGAGTAGTTGTGGTGCCATTTACATACGAGTGAGGGGCGAAAAGTCCCTGGTTTTGATTCTTGGTGGAGATGTTAAGGGATGGCTTAACATCTGATCTCTGCTGCTGCATGTCTTTCATCATGAGGTGGTTAGCACTAGACATTGTATCCAACATTGCACTAGGACTCAAAAGTTGTGTGCCAGCAGTTGGAGAGATGTCCTCAGCCAATGTAGTGCCTCGATAACCGTTCATCATTGGCTGAACCAGATTCGAGCAGTTGTTCGTAGAAGGAGAAGTAGAGCAAGATGGCACATCATCAGTGATAGCAGATTGACCTACTCCTCCAGCTGTCAACATATTGTTGCCACCACCAACTGTAGAGAGCTGATTTATTGTTGAGCTAGGAAATACTCCCAATATACGCCCAGGGATTTCAGGTTGTTGGTGCTGAAGTTTCTGCTGATGTGGCAGATGAGAAAATCGAGCATTCACTTGGCTGTTGCTTTTAGCCATCTGTTGTTGAGCAGTACTAGGCTGTGGGAGTGAAGAGGTCAAAGCTTGAGGCATTTCCAACATTTGGTTGGAGCTCATAGACCTCGAGAAGCTTTGGGATACATCCGATAATTGTCTTTGTGGGTCTTGCAACTGAGTCTGGGGAGCCAACGGTGATGGCTGCTGCTGCTGCTGCTGCTGAGCTAAGAGTGACTGCTGCTGCTGCTGCTGAAGCTTTTGCAGCAGCTGAAGCTGGATCTGATTTTCAGATACTTGGAAATGCTGATTAACTTGGTTAGACAACTGGTTTGGCATGAAGAGGCCTTGCTGTTGGTTTTGACCTAAAACATGTTGCATTTGAGCTTGCTGCTGAAAACTAGAAGAGGGATTTCTAACTAGCTGATGATGACTTTGAATAGGCTGCTGCTGCTGTAAAATACCATTGGCCTGGATCATAGACTGAGGTTGGAGAACCTGGGACTGAACTTGACTCAAAACTGCCCTAGGTTGTTGAGTCCCATCTGCAACATGCTGCTGTTGTGGTTGTACAACTGAGGTTAATGGGTTGATGCTTGAGGGTGGCATTTTAGTGAGCTGATGGTCAAGCTGTTGACCCTGCTGAGGTAGCCTTGGAGAAGTCAACTGGAAGTTGTTTGGCTGAAGAATTTGAGAGGATGCTGACAAACCTAACTGTCGAGAAATGTCAGCTGCACCAAGGTTTGGAAGAACAGAACCTGGCATGGACTGCATGTAATTTTGCTGCATAGAATTAGCTAGTGATGGGTTTTGTTGCATGTTCATCCATTGAACTAAGCTTAGGCCAGGGAGACTCTGGGGATCGTTCAAGATATCATCGCCAAGCCACGGCATGCTCCTCTTGAATATGCCATCTAAATCAGAAGAGTCATTATCTGCAAATTGAAATTATATCTTTCAGAAATTTTGCATCATCGCTATAGTTTTGGAAAAGGTGAAGTGCTTGTCAAGCTTAAAAGAGTGCCTTGCTCATGGAGTAAAGAGTTGTGACTATATTCAGGATTTTATATTGTCACGTCAGCACATTTGTAACAAACCACATGGGGTGATGCTGGGGATCACAAAAGGTCAAACTTTGGCCACAGACCAGACAAAATGAAGGAATCTTGACACTAAAGCTGGCCAAATATATTATTAATTCAATTACCAAGAATGCTGATCTTTAGAACAACTCCGTCCAGGAATGTATCAATGATCCAACAAAAAAATGCCACTCAAGAAGGTAAGTAAACTAGACACCTAGGTGACAGATAATCAGAACCCACGTATGGTCAGAGAATGCAGGAAATATATGATGGAAATACAGTGCTGGTTAAGTGATTATACCTGGCATTCCCGGTTGTCTTGGACGCTTGGATCTAAAAAAAGGAGGGGGGCATATGAAAAATGGAGCAGTGACAGGTTCAATCTCCCAAACTGAAAAACGATTGCGCCTTTCACCTGCAGTTGACTCATCCCATCCAACCTGTCAACACGACAAGATAAAAATGGTTTTACTTTTTAATCTCAACTGGTGGATACCTAACTGGCTAGCTCTTGGATAACCCAAATGGCAAAGTCACAACCTGCAAGTTACGCCACTGTGAGTTCTTCCATCTTACAGGATCAAGATCACTAATCCCGGTAATGGTACCCATGTACCTGCAAACCATATATAGAATTTTGCATGAATTTTATAACTCAAAATTGAATTCATCAAAAAGCCTCCCATTTTCTTCCAATCTCCAAAACCATACAAAAGCACAATTCTCAAACTTGTAAAATGGGGAGACATTATTTGAAGCTTGTGAATCAAGCTAAACAGGGTAATAGTCCCAAATAACTAAACAAGTAATCATTCAGAAGTGGAAAATGAGATTACCTTCTTGTTCCAGATTCCTCAGTTTCAAACATCATCCGGAAGCGCATGCCAAGTGACACTTGGTTGCCATAGACAGCCTTGTAGTATTTGGCTAATGGAATAACAAATTCTGATGGGCTAGCCCTGCATATAAACCGATAGCAAGTGTAAATAACATGTCATAAAGAACAACTTCCTGATTTGCATAATTTCAAAAATAATTTTTTTCTCAATCACTGACCTTGGGTTGTAGAACACAGTAAAGGGACTATTGTTAGCCGCTGCATGGGCTGCAGCAGCAAGGATGCCAATGTGCATGCTGTCACTTGATAAAACTGATGAGGACAGATTGGTAGGTTGCCGGTTAGCCCGTCTGATGCCCAAGAGAAGCTGCTGCTTTTCATCTCTGTTCAGACATGTATGTGACAAGGTTAGTCAATGTGGGTGGTTCACTACAAATGCTGTATTCAGATGCATGTCGTATGCAATAAGTATCATATGATGTGAAAAAGATTGAGATATGCGCAAAAAGCTTCAGTTATTTCTTAGCATTTACCTAATAAACAAGACTGAGTCACCAGCCAGAAGCCTCTTTCCACTTACAAAGAGGCTCCAGCCTGTCGTAAGCAAGTGACGCTTTGGTTGTCCTGAGTTTAGGGAAAGAATAGTATGGATAAGCAGTAAATCAAAATTCAGTAGAGATGTCTAAGGAAACAGGCAAAAATGTACCACGGTAGATATGTCTGAAAGTCCAAACATTATCATGTAGATCCCTGGCCACAATTTCTTGAGCAGGTGGTTGCATGGAGAAATCCTAAGAAGAGTAGTGGGAACATGAGTTTTTGCCATTGACAAAGCATGTGTATTTTCACTTTTAAGGGTGAGAGATGCATACAAGCGGTGGGAAAATCTTCTCAGCCGCTCGACGAGGCACAGAGAAGCCTCCATGAGTGCTAGTATCACTTGCTGTTAATGTTTTACAGAAGAACTCTGGTTGTGGCTTGTTTGACCTAAGTGCAATATCTGATCTCAGTAATGCTTCCTTGTCATACTGCACACAAATTGCTGATATATTTAGTTGAAGTTAGCTGCTTAGCAGATAAGAAAATTAATTAATCATGAAAGAGGTATAAACTATTGCCACTATAATCTCAGCGACTCTCAGTGATCTGATTTAACATCTAGAAGTGGAAATCAAATTCTATCAGTTTGTTAAAAAGAAGTCCTTACAGAGGGAACAGGTTGGAGGGTCATCTGAGCATAAACTTCATCTGTTTCCGGGTCCGCCTATGAAAGCAAATGAAGAAGTAACAGTCTTAACACCACTGATCCAAACAAACTCACGAATGGAATTAGGAGCTACAAGTTAAAACGCATAGGAATTAGGACGCTCTTTACATGCAATGTAACATTGTGAAGGAGACATAGCAGCTTGGAAGGGAGATTGGGGTAGTTTGGAATTTGACCATCCACATCCTTCTTCATAGACGCCGCAACCTGAAGACCATGGTATCGGTATCAAGTGAGGACATGATTTACCTCAAAGCCAAAAAAAAAAAAAAAAAAAAAAAGAATGACATAAACAAGGAAAAACTGAAAACTTGCAACATCAAGCAATCATAAAAGTCAATACACAGCTGATAAAAGGTGCAGCAAGTTCACAAATGAAGTCATAGAGGAACCTTAAAAATGCTGAAATTGCTAAACGGGACCAAGCAAATCGCTAAACACCCAAATTATCTTAAGCATAAATCAAACCTTAAGCTATATTAAACAACATGGCTTGCAGACAAGTTTTACCATGTCTAAATCATCAACCTGTCAATAACTTCATATTCCAAACAACACCTTTTTATTGGGCTGTCTATCTACAACTTCTTCAAACCAAATACTACCAGGGACAAACAACCGTTGACTTGGGAGGCAAGTAGAAACTGGAAAAATTTCCCCCAAGGAATCTGGAACTAGATTTGATTTGATTGCCTAAAAATTCCGGGAGGGCAAGAACAAAAGGGGAAGTTATCAATTATGATCAACCTTCCCCAACTATTAATGAGGGATTAACTGCTAGAACCCACCAAAATGGAGGCTCAATGGAGTAATTTGGAAGGAAAAAAATCACCTGTTCGCTGTGGCCTTGAGGGAAGTAAACGACATGGGTGCCTGCGGCTGGCAAGTTCACCAGAGGTCCAGCACAAGCTTGCCATAGCTCCACGTTTATGGTCTTCTTCTCTGCTGACCCTGCATCATCACCATCATCAAAAATATCAGCAGCAGCAGCAGAATGGCTCACACTGAATCTCAACCACCCACTCCCTCCAAGATCCCCAATCTTCTTTTTCATTTCCCTATATGAATTGGAAAGAGAAGTTTTCCTTTCTCTGCCATCTCCCCTTTTTGTTTGGCTCCCAAGGAAATCTTACAACAGAAAGGAAGGGAAAATGGAGCAAAAGCGACAAAACAGCCGGCTAACAAGTCACAGCACTAGCTGGTGATGGAGATAGGAGACAAATTCCCCTTCTGGTAAAACCTTCGTTAGTTACGTTGTTGATCCAAATTATGCAGAACAAAAATCGAGCATTTGTTCTCCCACCATTAAATTTAGCTACATAAGGACACATAGAAATCTCCTATGTTGCGGCTGAGCTCCAAGTCAGAGCGTTTTATTACAAAAAATCACCTGTTTCAGCTGGATTAGCTGTGGTAGTGGCGGCGGCGGAGGAGGGAACGGCGGCTCCGGCGCCGTTCGCCGGCGTTTTCATTGCCCTCTACTTTTTTCTTCTTTACCCCCTTCTTTCCGGGACTGATTCGCGGAGTAAAATGAAGCTGATCCGGAGTATATTCACTTCCCCATAGCTCCCTTTTCTTTAGCTGATTCAAAAGCTACTCTTCATTAAAGTCTGCAACTTTACTTCAAACCCACCTGACCCAGGAAACTTCAAACCATTTCCTCCATACCCAATAGGTAGAAACACAGATCGGTTGAAGTTCCGGCCAGTTGGCCGGCGAAAAAGTGGCCGGAGAGAGACTCAGATAGATGCAAGGTACTAGGGGGAAAAAACAGCAAAAAAACAGGGGGGTAGAAAAGAAAACCTGAAATTCCCTCAAAGAGGAAAAAAATTACAGAAGAAGGGAAGGTGGGGGATTTTTTTTCTGGGTAAGTGCAGGATGTGGAGTTTCTCAGAGACCAAACAAGGGTATGAATTTTTCGCTTGCCCCTATGTTCCCCTACATTACCCAGACAAAAGAGAAAAAACTTTCCCTCCCCTGTTTTCCTCTTCTTCCTCTCTCTATCTCTCTCTCTATATCTCTTCCTTCGCTAATGCTTCTTCTTCCTTCTCTCTCTGCTCTCCGTGCTTGACTGTCATTTTCTATGCTAAATTCCGATTTTCTTTGCATATCTTTTTTCAATTATTTTAGGGGCTGAGTTTTTTTTTTTTTGACAAGGTTTTAGGGGCTGAGTTGATGTAATAAAGATGAACAGTAATCAACTGGAGTGCCGAGTATGTATCTGTTCATTGTTCTATTTATTTATTCGTCTGTTAATTATAAATATACTTGTCTGTGGCTTCCATTGAAAATGCCATTACTGAAACTGACTGATAACGCCTGCCTTGCCTCCCCCATTGTTCCGTCTTCCCTTTTCCCAATTTATCTTCTCTGTTCTCTGTTCTTTCCTGGTGGTGATGTCTTTTCCTCTGTGTTTCTGCTTGTTGACAGTGTATCCCATTATCCCATCCCATGATCCCTTTCTCAGTTCATGATAAGAGATCATGGTAAGATTATTATCCGCATTCATCGATGGAAAAGCTAGTAGATGACACAATGGTGTTACCTCTTACGACTCTTCTCTCTTGTTGGCTAGGATTGGAAAGTAAGTGAACACGTTTAGAATGTTGGATTTAAATTCAAGAAAATTATATTTGGTGGTCGGTCAATGCATATGATGACATCTAGCACATCCTAATACAAATTTTTCATCTTAACAATTAATGATGGATGTGCTCAGTATCATTAGTTTAGCTCAGAAGCCCCAACTCAGAATCTCGGGAGAACATACTCTCCATAGTAACATTTCTCCCGACAATATATAATTCCATCTGATCCACTTTGTTGAGGTTTGTCTTACTCACGATGTTACTTAAGCAAGTTGAGGACATAACTCTGGGTGTTACATTGTGTGCGATGGTCATGCAGACAGTAACTTCTAGCACAATTCAGACGAACTTTCAGACTCTCAACACGATCACACTTCTCGTAGTAGCATTCCTATAGTTAAAGTAAAGAGTCTTTCACCTGGTTCAATCTATGCAAGTTTATGGTCGACATTTTTCTTGCTTTTCCTTAATTTTGGGTTTCAATTTTGGACAACTAGTAATAAACAGGAGGAAGAAAGAAAGTAGCGGATATAAACCAGAGCTCCTTAACCTTGGTTATTATATGAAGGGACCTACCAACCCCACTTACGATGCTAATTAGCTAAAGAACGATGGACAATAAAACGAAAACATTAAAGTAATATTGTACTTTTGTTTTCTTCAAACTAATCCCATATTAGATGGAATTTACCATAGCAATCGTCACTCCACCACCATTATTTGATGCACATGGCCCTTGATCTCTTTACTAGTTTTTTAATCCATCGGCTTAATATACAATGGATTAGACTAATGGCTTTGACAACTATTTCATAATCATCGTAACCAACAATGATGATGCATTATTATTTTGTGTGATTGTGTCATTTCCTTCAACACCAATGCAATCGTTTAACAAAACCAAACAAAAAAGAAAAATGTTCATAAAACATTAGTTGTTTCTCCGTTCTCGATGGTCATCTTTAACAAATTCATCCACAAGATGTACACTGTTAAGAAGTTTTCTAGGCAGCTAATTATCAACATATGCACCTAGGTATTAACATTCCTAAGTATTAACCAGCGCACCCAACAATAAGGACCAGCAAATACCCATCATCACATCAAACTTACGAGTACATCTAGGCGTCAAGCATGACATCTAAGCCATTAAGATTTAAGACGTCTTGCCAAGGTGCCATGACCGTGAAGACCATGAAAGCGCCTCAAGCATGACGTAGGAGGTCATCATCGTGATGCGGTTAGCGAATATTACTAAAGACATCCAGGAAGTACTGAGTGACCATCATCAGGAGCTCCAAACTATCATATGCTATGATACCTGACTTTTTAAACACACACCAAGCCATCGAGATGCCTCGCAGGTGACAAAATCAACACCGCGTCCAACCACCATCATCGATGTCAGAGCCACATTGAATTAAGGAAACTAACCCACATCAATTCTAAAGTGTAGGTAAAAGTACACATATATTTTCGAAACAAACTTGAATATTATACTAGTTTATAAGATTCTAATCCATCCTCCCTAAACATCACATGATTCCATTCCCTCAAATTTAACTTCTTAATTACTCAATCAGATTTCTATCTCCACCACTATCCATCATTACAACCAACTTGTTGTCAACCCCTTTAAGCCAAGTTGAGGAAGAAATATGAACTGATATTGAGCTTGCCATCTTATGAACAATGTGTAACAAATTCTAAAAATAGACTAATTGGTAAGCCATTAGCTCTCCCCACCCCACCATCAATGACCATAGTTTTTAGCACCCTCGTTCAAATTTCTAGTTTCGCCACTTTGTACCAATACTGTCTCCACCGTCGCAGAGGGCAAAAATATCAGCAAAATTCAATTAGTCTGTGTCTGTATTTGACTATTTGGATTTGCGTCTTCCACCGCCAAATCCCATGTTGGGTTGCGTCGAGTAGTCTTGGCCACTAGGAGAAAGAGAGGGTAATAAGCCAAAAGTGTCAATAAATGCTCCAATGGGGTTAGTTATATATACATACGCATTTCAATCAACACTCCAACATGTTCATTCCCAATGCAATGCAATGTTAACAATCCCCACAACCAATCCATTTAAAAGGAGAAGAAAGAGATCCCACCACCCAACTTGTGTGTATAATTTATGATCCGATGTATGTATGATGTTGTCCAATGGTGTCTTTCGGTCTATAATTCATATTGTTTGCTAGCGTATGGTGTTTCCCCCCTGATTATCCGGACCGAAACTAAGCCATTAAGGGTCTACTCGGTTTTCAGGAAAAAAAAATTGGACAACCCTCTTGAACACAATGGCAGAGTCAGAGGGTTTGGAGTTTGGACTCTGTCACGGGGCACATGTAAATTTTGCTAAGAAAACAAATTCTTATATATGCATATGGAAGCGATTTAAGTATTTAACTCACCAATGTAATCGATTTTCAGAAACAAAAGGATGAACAACCCACATAAACGTAGGGACACAACCAAAGGGGTTGAGCTCTGTCACAAGACACATGTAAATTTTGTTTACAAAAATAATGAATTCCTATGTATGCATATGAAAGGAATTGAACTCACCAGTTTAAGGTAACGTAGTGATATTTTTTTCACTGCACTATAGTCCATTTATTGTTATTTGATTGTCATAAATTAATTTTTTCCCTATAAATCAAATTCCCAATTGAAATAATTTATTATTCTTAAAAAGGACACTGGACACACGTAATTTCAAATTTCGGCTCCGCCTCTACTTAAACGATTCGGTTCTGGAGGAACTAACATTTTTGAATTTTTTTAGTTTTCATATTAGCGATTTGGTTAGCCGCAACGAGCCAATCTGACAGCCCTAATACGTACTAAAAGGTTAAGGAAAAGGAGATTATACTCTATGCCAATCGTTACAACTTACAAGTTACAACATACAATAGGATTACCGTGCTCATGTCATTTGGTGTAAATGTGTATTTTAACCATTGTCTTAAAGATCCTATCGTATTGACCGCTCGAATCGGAAATAACGGATAAGATTCGAAATGATAGACGATTTTAGCAGTTCAAAATGATTGAACCGGTAACATCTTAGGATTATACCTTTTTACTAACTTTTTTGGTATAATTTTTTATACGCTTTCATAATCATTGATTTAACATGATGATAGATACAATATTGATCAAGACTATTATGGTGAAACTTACTTTCCGCTCTTTGATAAAGTATACGCGCCTTAATATTGTTGGGGGAGAGGCGGGAGAGTGACATTCTTTTTTGATTGAAAGGCGAGAGGATGACGACCAATGTGGACACGTTTGGACCATCGTCCATATATGTCGACAGGGAAAAGGGGAGGAAAAAACAGTTTACTTATACATATCCTCGTCGCAAAATTGGAAGAAAGCGGAACACAAAAACCATTTTTATATGTAAGTTATGGATGAAACAATTTATATTTGTACATTGAGTGGTTTGGTTGGATGTATTTGAAAATATAAAGTCATTTGTTTTTTTTTTTTTGACAATATAAAGTCATTTGTTTCAATTGCATGTTATGTGGTTTGTATGTAATTGAGTGCGATGTATTTTATTTTGTTTGACATGTTATTGGGTGATGTAAAAAGGGGAAGTTCGATCGCGGATTTGAACCAAAGATTATAAAATCGTACTGTATGTTGTAGCGGAAAAGTTAGAGGTAAGATATTAAGTGCTGAAATTATGGTTGAACCGTTTCATGTCTGCTATCAAACCATCTTTTAGTTTAGACTCCGATATGGAGTATTTTCGGGCGGACCGTCGGTACGATACGGTTTCATGAATACTTATTTGAACATGGGACCTCCGCGTTGAAAATCAACGGTGGAGTCGTTGGACCAACCCCTTATGAGTGTGATATATTTCACTTGGTTCAAAAAATGCGCAATTCAAAGTATGCTTAGAAGCTAGACAATGACAAAATGCATTGCCTAGGCCTAGAGAGACCATTAGTTAGAAGCGATTAATCATCTGAGGCGTGACTAATCGGAGTTAGACAGACTTAGGGGTTTGGCGACTAAAGATAATATATATATAATTGCCCACAATGCCGCCATCCCTAATGTCGAACCGTTCAGCCCAACGACCCGTCCTACACATGCCTACTTCCTCGATTGGAATAAAAAAAATTAGGTCGAGCTTTCCAAATTGCAACTGCTTCTCCTGCCCTGAAATTCATCATCAACTACTGTAGTGCTCTCATCTCCAACTTTGGTCGGCTCGACTCTCTGACTCCCTACTATTTGACGTCGTCGATTATTAAGCAACCAAACTCCAAAACCAGGTCCTCGTCTCCAATCTATCTCTAGCTTCAACCAAAGAGAAGGATGGGCTTACAACATAGCATCTCAACCTCTCAATCAACTAGTCTACATACAGTTCAACCCAAGGTTGACGGCCAAGAAAAAGAGGATAACAGAGAAGAAGAATATTGATATTCTTCCATGTAAAAAGGCAATTGAAGCACAAGGCTTCTTATTTAAGGGATGAGATGATCATTCGTATGTGTTCAAAGACGAGGAAGGAGATGGTGCACCATTCATTGTTGTTACAAATACCATGGTAACAAGTGAGTATCTTGAACTTCACAAGAGTGCAAAAATGAGAAAGAGTTTCATGATGAAGAATTCGATGAACTTTAATGTTTGCTGTTTAATTATTTCTATGAACGTGTTGATTGAACTAATGTTTCAAACTTTCTATAAAGTTGTGATAGTAATTTCTATAATGCGGTG